TTTAGGTAATTGTTTAAGAAGTAAGACAATTGTGCAAAACAAAGCTCTACATAGGCTAAGTCTCGAAGCCATTGACAAAATCACCCAAAGAAGACACGACATAATTATTTATAGACGTTTATATCTGTCATATTTTATACAACAGTTCTAGCCACAACCAGGCCCTACAGGGGGAAGAGATGTGTCGGTGTGGAATCTCCCGAAAAAAATTTAATTGCCCCCTGACAAAATGCTGACAACCAACCAAGTCCGTTACTGCAACTAAAAAACATACACCATTGCCTCTCTGGATATATTACTTTCCCCTCCGAACAATAAAATCCGGTTACGGGCCTGCAACAAACGTTGTAAGCTTTTAGAGGATAATACTTACCAGTATTACAGCTAGCACCTTTCCATCCTTTCTGACAACCATTAGGACATTGACCAGTTATAACATCACATTCATCACCGTTCGAACAATGACAGAATTTATTACAATCTGAACCAAACGTTCCTCGTGAACAAACTAGGGGAAAAATAAAATCAGAGAATGAATTCATTGTTTCAATCTGTGTCATTGGATATAATTTTCGATGTATATAAGTGAAAATTGTATTGTAGTCGCCATAATATGGTCCACTCCATGTGGCAATTTTAAAACCAACAACAATCAATGTTATTAAAAGTATTATTTATTTTGTACATATACAATCACATCACTGTGTCTTTTTCACTTACATTCAAGCTTAAACCTTACATGTGCACACATTGCAGTAAAACTCCATGTAAGAACTGTTGTTTGAGAACATTTGCAAATAAGTCAGAATAGGCTGGTAGATGTTATAAAAGGTATAACAACTTACAAATTGTGTAAATAAATACGTTTTATTGGAAACTTACCATAAATTTCAACTTCACATAAACGAATATAATGGAAAAAATCGTCAGATCTAATACTACTGATATTAACATGACGACCAGTTATAGTTCTACCACATTCTATTGGTATTTCAGTTGGTGGGTTTGATACATTAGTATGTTTAAAACATAACTCATTATCAATATGTACAGAAAATCCTTGCGCGTCTGAAAGGTCAAGAAAATGGATGAAAAATGAAGATTGGGATTGGAGTGGGTTGGTGAGGTTGGAGAGGAGGGTGAAATGGAAAAAGCATCTAGACTTTTGGAAGGGATGGATACCTCAACAGAAAAGAAGTCTTCGAATCGTTTGTCAACAGAACAACATTTTAAATCAATATCACGAATAACATCTGCACAGATAAGTCTACTTCTTTCCATATTTTATATAATTTCATGTCGGCGTAAAATATACATTACTTTCTCAAATTATTTAATAGAACTTACACCCAGCTTGATGGAAAATCTTTAAGAATCTAAGAGAAAATGTTCGTTGTAAATCTATCACCCACCAAGCCCAAGGAGAAAACGAGGTATGAATACATGGATGATTAAACGTCCAGGCGGTATCTGTATATCCATCTACAGCTTGTTTAGGGCCGTAAGAGTCAATGAGTATATCACTTTGACTGACTTCCTCGGATCCTAAAGCTACATTTCCTGAACAAAAAAATACAGAATTTACACAAAAGATAGCTTTTAGTTAATTTATCATGCACCCACTGGAACTTTGTATTTACAATAGGACTCAAGGTTAGTGCGAATTAATTACCAAAAACCAAATATCTAAGACATCGTTATATGAAGTCAACATTTACGCGGCAGGTCTTATGCTAAACATGTAAAATTGCCCATCATCATGAAAAATAAAACCAACAGCTATCATTCTTACATAAAGACACGCAAAAGCGACGTAAAAACAGGGTAAATGATACATTTATTATTATGAACCATTTCAACAAATTTCGTCCTTTAATCCAGAATTATCCTTCCAGTGGTTCAACTGTCATAGAAACTAGTTAAACCAAGTCAACAGGCGCCAAACTCTGAGGGGGCCCCCACCTCCAGAAAAAAGTACAGGAGGGCATATTTCATATTATTATTAACGGGCCCTTAGTTTTCTAGTCAAGCCACTATAACTTTCTAGAGTTTGCGCTAAGAAATGATCGAAGAAAATATATTACAATAAAATCCCATTGGATGCGCCCCATATTTGTGAAATATTTATTTTTTACCTTGTTGACAAGAAGGTCCACCCCAACCTTTCAAACATCCATTATCACATCTTCCAGTAACAATGTCACATTTTTCATCATTTTTACAGTGACAAGTATAACTGTTATTAAATCCAAACTTAAAACCTGAAAATGTTTTAATATTTGAACACTATCAATAATATGACACAATTGTGAAATCTAAAACCTTACAAAAGATAATCTTCAATGGTCTTAAATTCAGAGTTCGAGCTGTTTAATTTTCAGAAAGATCAAACGTCATGTTCACCTTTGATTGATTGAAAAGACAACTTCTGAAGTTAAATGATTCCCACAGATTCAAGAAGGTATGGACGAAATCATCCTTGACATGGTAAACATGAACAATGGTAAATAAATAATATCAGATTAGAACATCAAATAAATCAGGTTTTACCTTCAGAAGGAGTGGGTGCGGCCACCACCAATAAAACACCAATCTGAATATAATTCATCATCATCTATTTGTATATCTGTTTATTATTAATTATTCATATTTTTGTTAAACAGTTCATACGTTCATATTCTGAAAAAAACATTAAAAACATTTAAGCGTACGTTAAAATATCTGCTAAATGCTAAAAATGCAAAATCTTAATGCAAAATCTAATGTCATTCTTTCAAAAGTCAAGGTAACAAATCTCATCTCTGTTTGATGGAACATTTTCAGTAAGATTTCACGACCCAAGAGGTATTCAAGATATTTAATCCTTAATGCAGATTTAGTAGAGCCCATCTTTGTAACATTTTCTTTCAATAGAAGTGATTGATAAAGTGCTAATTCCAAGACCATTCATATTAAGTGAAAGTGAAATTTACAAAACAAGAAAAGAAAAGATTCTTTTTTTACCCATTGCTTCCATCCAGCAACCTTGACTTCTCATTTCAGATCTGAAATTTTGTAGAGAGATTAGGAATATAAGTATATGTTTATCAAATGAAGTGCGCAATTCTATTTCTTCCTGTTAAATTGAAACGGGGTTCTTTGGTTAAATAGAAACTTTGTTAAATATTTGAGTAATTTGTTTTTATTATATTACATGTTCCTGCTAAAATACTTGAAGTAGATGCACTCGTCAACGTTTGAATTAGATTGCCCGTCAAGATAGTTTAAACCCACGGTAGCAAGCAATTATACTATTATCTTTTATAGCACATTACATACCAAGGCAACAGGGGATTTTTTTCTATGATGTTAATCGCCATGTGGGTGTATATCAAAAGCTATATCTGTAATCTAGCACACATGTTTTCCTCTATGATGTCGGTCGCCATGTGGGTGTATATCAAAAGCTGTATCTGTAATATTGCAAACATGTTTCCTTTCCCTCTATGATGTCGGTTACCATGTGGGCGTATTCCAAAAGCTATATCTATAATTTGTCAAACATATTTTCCTATATGATGTCGGTTGTCATGTAGGCGTATATCAAAAGCTATATGGCTATAATTTGGCAAACATGTGTTCCTCTATGAAGTCGGTCGCCATGTGGGCGTATATCAAAAGCTATATCTGTAATCTAGCACCCATGTTATCCTCTATGATGTTGGTCGTCATGTGGGCGTATATTAAAAGCTATATCTATATTGTCCAGCTTGCTATCCTCTATGATGTCGGTCACCATGTGGGCGTATATCAAACGCTATATCTGTAATCTAGCAAACATGTTATCCTCTATGATGTCGGTTGTCATGTGGGTGTATATCAAAAGCTATATCTGTAATCTAGCAAACATGGTATCCTCTATGATGTCGGTTGTCATGTGGGTGTATATCAAAAGCTATATCTGTAATCTAGCAAACATGTTATCCTCTAAGATGTCGGTTGTCATGTGGGTGTATATCAAAAGCTATAACTATAATTTGTCTAACATATATTCCTCTAAGATGTCGGTTGTCATGTGGACGTATATTAAAGGCTATATCTGTAATCTAGCGCACATGTTTTCCTGTAATATGTCGGTTGTCATGTGGGTGTATATCAAAAGTTATATCTGTAATCTAGCAAACACGTTATCCTCTATGATGTCGGTTGTCATGTGGGTGTATATCAAAAGCTGTATCTATATTGTCCAGCTTGCTATCCTCTATGATGTCGGTTGTCATGTGGGTGTATATCAAAAGCTATATCTATAATTTGTCTAACATATATTCCTCTAAGATGTCGGTTGTCATGTGGGCGTATATTAAGACTTATATCTATATTGGCCAGTTTGCTAACCTCTATGATGGCAGTTGCCATGTGGGTGTATATCAAAAACTCTGTCTATTGTCTGGGTTTACGATTTTCACGCGTGTATAATCAGACAAATGTTATCCACTTTGATGTCGATGTTTTTTAAAAGGGAAGTTATTGGTTAACAGGAAGTATTTAGTGATTGATGTTGTAATTGTGATCTATTATAATTAAAAATCTATATGAGCATTTGTTATATTTTACTTCTCAATTCAGTTTGTAACATAAATTGAACTATAATGTTTGCTGAAACGATTTCAAAACCGTATAGGTGGCGCTCAATTTGTGACTGAATCGTGATTTCTGAACAGGTTTTGTCTGTTCCCATTCGAATAGTTCAGAACAAAATTACATTCAAAATTTTCTCTTCTATTCCCCTTTCCGCCATTTTAAACCTACTATTTTTTCGGCACTAGTGAAACGTGTTCTGAACCCTGAACTTGTTTTATGGAAACATCCGTTTGACTCCATGAATCCCCTCATTCACCAATCGAGCGACCCCATAGACATACTATGATGTGAATCAGAGAAGATGCTAGCGCCCGGTTCCCCCTCCCACTTTCAAAGTTTTCATCACTTTACATAGTGAAAGAATGACCTGTGCTTCGCTCCTGGAAACTTTTTCCTGGTGTTAATAGAACTAAGGAAATAAAATAACATTAATAGTGTAATACACAATATAGGCTTATTTATGTACAAAACTTTAATTTTAAATCATTTTCAACAATAAGATAAGAAAGGATAATTGTATCTACGTAACATAGCGGATAGCATACAATATACATACATTATATATACATCATACATTTAATATTACAACGCAACATAAGGAAAGAATATAATTATACTATACATTACTCAATGTATGAAAATAACGATATCATGATTGCTTAAAATTTGACAATTATGTAATAATCACATTAAAGAGCTAAAAAGTGATTGCTGTTGCTTTTCATTTTCTCGAAAAGCAGTCAAATATGATTCCTTAAAATAACTTAAAACTTGTAATCTAAAATATATAATCTTGATGCTTCACTAAAGTTTACTCCGTTTTACTCTGATACATTTTCTTATAGTCATTGGTATAATGTTTCGAGAAATGTGCTTTAGAACCATACATATAATGTAAAGACATATCAGTAGAATATTTAGATGCTGGTGGTTTACGGCCAAATATTTCAGCAACTTCTCTCATGTAGTGAGAAGCATTTCCACAACATAAACCAACCATTTCTACACCAATTTCTTTACATTCTTTAGCAAAATCACGTATTTGATATCTACTGCAAGCAAAAGCCGGTAAATTTTCTGGGAAAGCCATTAGGTCTGAAAAAAAAAAACAGAAATGCGTATTGTTCAAATGAATATATCATAGTTGAAAATAAGAAATCCTCCATATCCCAAGTTTTTCTACTGATCGGGTCGATACTTGATAAGTCAATATTGCAAATACTTACTGGTATCAGGATCAATTAACGATTGCATCATGGGGTGTTCTGGTGTTGTTCTGTATGTCACTGGTAACGCGGCAATTGGACCCTAAAATGGAGATTGTGGAATGGAACACTCCATATTCTTATTTTGTGAACTGTGATAGATTCAATAAAAAGTTGTGTTGATGATTCAGGAGTATTTACGCTTCCAGGAGTTCATTTTGATGTAAGTTTTAAATATTAACACCCCATACACAGGATCTCCCAGAGCAACGCACATATTGAATTTCTGAAGCCACTCCCAAGCAATGATATAGACACTTACCGAACACGTTTTTCTTATTTTTCTCATGATCGGCATCATTGTGGCTGGACCTCTACTACAATTTAGACCAACCACATCAGCTCCTAGATCTTCAAGCTTTTTACAAGCTACATCATAAGGAACTCCATCACAGGTAGAGTCAATTGCAGGAGGAGCTAAATTAACTACAGCTGGAAGTCCTGCAAACGACAAAACAATTTTGTTTATGTGCTCAGTGAATTGCTGGTTGCTAAAGTGTTCAACAGTGCGTCTCGAATTCTTTACCGTTCACATAGCTCATCAAGAGCAAGTCGCATAATGAAGCAAACACGAATACGATACAAACAGCATCGTTTAAGGCGCATGTCATTGCAGCTTAATGACTATTTAGTGCAAATGAATGGCAGTAAATCTATCTCTCTTTCATTCCCCCTTTTTGCCACTATTTTCATGTTCTGGTATAAGCGTATTTTATAACATGTGCACTAGTGATTGACCTTGTCCATATTTCTTCATACAGTTCAGAGCCAGTTCGGCTTCACCAAAATCGAGATATGTTTCTCCAATAATAAAATCGGCACCATATTGAACCGCCCATTCTATCTGTTCCTGTAGAAAAATAGAAAGATTACATCAATGAATACATGTAGCAATATACATGGTACTTTCGCCAGACGAGTCTGTAATTAATAGTAAGGAAATGTTAAAATTGGTGGATAAAATCACAGTGCACCCCGAAGGCTCTGTACACCTCTATATTGAATATTATGCCCTTTACAAAAATATCATTGTAATGTGTGCATTCTTTTTTTTCTGGGTGGATAATAAAATAAACTCGGGACGAAATCATCTTAAATTCTTAATTTGGGTTTTTCAATTATTTTCAGAATGGTGCAGATATACATTATGCTCATATTATAATCAAGAGCGTTCGTACCATCCACACTAAGACAAGGTCCATACACTATACTTTTCGTCCACATAGTTAACAGTCTTATTGTAGTAAATTTATCCATGTATAACTCACTCTCTGGTGAAAATCTGATAGTTTACCTTGAATATTTTCTCAGTTTGTTCAATTGTCTCTGGTTTGCTTTTATCATAAAGAGTAGTATTACATATGTTTCCTGCCATTAATGTGCCCGTGGCATCAGCAACCTCTCTGGCTATCTTCAAAGCATCAACGTTTAGTCTTTCTAGCAGGTGCTCTTTACCGATTAACCTCATCTTCTCTCGATGGCCATAATACTGAAATACCGGTATTTAAAATGTTTGTACATAAATGTTAATGTGTTACGCTTATAATAATAACCGACAATACTATTGGTAATTGGTAATTTTCAAAAATTAATTTGAGCCCTGACCAATGAGGAAGACGGTTTCCATACCATGCTACATTTTTCTAATCATAACTCCAAATACGGCTACGTCTTATTTTTTTTTTTTCAGTAGCGTATTAAGGGGGTGAGACATCTCTCTTTCCCTCACCTCAGGCATTTTCTTGATATGTCACTGTTCCTTACCGTGAAAGCTTGAACAACATCTGAACCAGCATGAACAAATTCTTCATGCAGATCTTTCACTCTGTTAGGAAACTCTATGACAACTTCCGGTACAAAAGATCCAGCCTTCAGATATCCTCGTCGTTCAAATTCAAATAAATAACCTTCTGCTACAAGGACAGTTTCCTTATCAGCGAAACGCTGCATTAATCCTTGAGTAGAAAGAGAAAAAGTTTGTATTGAACCTCATTATTGTTAGCAATGGCCATTAAACAACTTCCTTTATCAATAAACGTTCCGCAACAAGTTAATGAATGGCAGTCATAGTTTGCCGGAACTAACAATACATAAGTGATTGAGTGATTATGATAGTCAGAAGGTGGTCGTTCGAGACTACAAGTGTTTGTTAACTAAGACATTGGAAACAAAACATTCGAAAGATATGTATTATAATAATAATATATGTTTATTTAGCTATTCTGTATTCTGTTTTGAACTACGGCAATAATGTGAGACTGAATTTGAAGTGGGGCGTACTACTTCAATTAGAATAATAAAAAAAACAAGTACGAACGATCCGAACCGAAGGATCGAAGAAACATTATCAGTAAAAACAAAAGAATAATGTTCAATCGCTTTAATAACGAAAAAAAATCTTATAATAACATTACTTCTCATCTCGACTTACTTAAAGGTTGATACTTTATAAGATACAGATAACACTTTTCATTTGAAATACTTATTCACTTATGATTGATATGCTTCCTCGTGTGAACAGTTCATAAGCTGCTACTAATGTTTTGTCAAAATGTTGTTTTGGATTTCGGGTTTGGTTTTGCGGTTTGGATCGTTAGTACTTGGTTTATTTATTAAATATTTTGGTTAAACTCTTCAGCCTTAGGGTAAAGACATCCTTTAAATCGGCGGTATGCATAATTGTCATTATTAAAAACGTTGGGAATTATAAGCGAAAGATTGTTAACTCTGCTATTTTTATTTACTTGAAGCTAGTTTTGGTATAGTTTAGTTTTCCAACCAACACCAAACAAAAACAATGTGACCTTAAAAAGATTAACCTATATTTTTTAAACAGTTTTGGCTTGGAATTCTAAACATTAATGGTGTCTAATTTTCACAACTTACTTCACTTTCACACTTTCCCTTCTAGTTTAGGGTTTCGTTTGCTGTAGGCTTCTATGTGCCCAAGTTCTATAATTCCCTTCCAGTTAAGAAGCCATATATTTCTTATAATACGAAAGAGATCAAAACATTTTCAAATAAATTGTTAGATTGCATACAGTTTTCAACCTTAAGTGGTTTAGTTTTGAATGGATACTCTACAACCCTTCAAAAATTCAACCTATAATTCGAAAAAGTTGTTCATTTGATGGATCGTCAGCAAAAGGAACTTAAAATCAGAATAACGGTTACACTTCGAAACATTTGCCTCTATTCCAGCCTCTGATATATATTTGGACAGTTATCCGATAGTTATTATAAGCTGGAATAGAGATGTTTCGATAAAATAATCGTTACTATATCACACGAAATCTGTAGTTTCATACTGCTGTTTCTAAAATGTTAAAAGATGTTTTGAATTATTTTAGGACCTTTCTTACAACAGGCTCATATTCTAATAAAAATTGTAAATATAATACCTACCTTTAGTCGGCATAGTGTCTGGTTATATTCTATAAAATATCTTTATGATCGTCAGAAATGTAAATAATGAACACGGACGAATGGGATTTATATAGTGTTCCATCTTGTTTTTTGACCTCATTCAATATTTTAAAAAGGTTTATAGTTCAGCGTGATAAGGCTCCGGAATATGTGTCGTTATACCATTTCTTGAAAATAAACCCATTCATTGAAAGATAAAATACGTCATTCACGAGATCAAACTGTTTACCGCTGCATAGATCTGGTCAAATCTTGAAAATACAAGCTAAATGTAACTGATAGGAAATGCGAATTGAGGACAAGTAAGCCAGATAAATATTATTATAATTTGTGAACTTTTATCTCAATAGTCAAGTACGCGTTTTCAATCTGTTTATATCTGTAACATAAAGTTTAATACTTGTCTTAAACTGCAATGATCTGGGACCTGCATACCCAGCTGTTGATTCTTTTATCGAATTAAGTATTGGAAGGGTTGGAAATATTCCTACAGCATCAGAACGCAAGCAATAATATACGTGTTTAGCGAATGATAACTTACTTGGTTTGTTTGCTAAAATTTAAGTATTATCCTATCTTGCATATGAGTCACAGATCAAGGGGGAAAGGGGTGGGGGAGAAATGCTCACATTGCCTTCTCGTTTGTAGTGTGATTAAAACAGGACGTTTCCAAAGTCATCATCATATGTGACAGTTGTCGGCTAGTGTAGATGCAACTGTTGGTTACAACAACTGTTTCTGAAAGCTCAAAAAGCCATGAACAACTATTGCTTCTCCATTAATTCTCCGTCTAATCCAGTTTCGGCACGTCAGTGGTTGATAATTATGGTCCCAACGAACTACAAAATGAAGTATGTGATCGTTTAAACTTTATACATCAGAGGCTTGCTTTCAATACTTGATAATGTATACAGAGCACTTAAGAAAAACTAAATCACAAAAACCCTTTCTTGGCAAACTTCCGGTTTAATAGGAAACACTTTAAAAATAATCAATTAATATACTACCTATAATAATACACTAATGATGTTTATATAAATTTTATTAAAATGTCTGTGTTCAAGAACAAATAAACTAATATACAAATCACAAGTTCCTAATACCTCTATACAATCAAATAGCTACTGTTGCCCTGTAAATCTGTGAATGACGGTGCTTTATCCTTTCTCCGCCCCGATTCAACCTCTGAGTGAAGCAAGGGATTAGAATGGAAAAACGAGCATTTAAATGAAAACTAGGAAGGCTTCATGTTAATTCCCCTCATGACATGACATTCCCGACCGACCGACCGACGGACAGGGATCCAGCAATATACGTCCACATAGAGAGATGTGGGCGTATAAAAACACAATTTCAAGGTCAATATCCCAGTAAGATGGTTCGATTTTCAAATAGTCGTTAGAAAAATCAATTTCAAGTAAGTAAATATTATATAAAAAGATAAACATGAAGACAAATTGCCTGGCAATGAAACATACGCCAACTATTCTAAAACAGTGCATAGAATCAATGCCAATGTTGAACTTGACTAAGATTTTTCAAGCATACCAAATCTTATCAAGATCCGATAACAACTGTTGTCTCTCTCATAAACTACAAAAACTTTGATGCGTTTTATTCAGTCAAGGGCGATAACTAAAAACACCATAGCAGATAGTAAGAAAAAAAATATTCTAGTAAGAAAACATGAAAACAGCTTGCAAGCCAATATAACAAACACCCACTGCACAAAAACAGTCAAATTATTGCCAATATCGAACTTGGCCGAGATGTGTGAATATATATACATGCATACTTAGTGTCATCTAGATCAGATAAAAACTGAGAAAGAAGTGTTTCTTTCGGATGAATTAATAATATCTAAATAAGGAAAGCATATAAGTGATCAAGATCAAAATTCATGGTCACGGATCACAGACATAGTGGACATATAATATCGCTTACGTGTCCTTTAATATCCATCCATATATAATTTATGTTTTCTGTGCTTTTTTACTGTTATTTGTGCTTGTTTACACCTGTTTGCGCTTGTTTTCACATGTTTGCGCTGTTTAGTCTGACCACAGATTAGTATTCTAAGAACCGAACATGTATTTAAACTGACGGTAAAAGAGATGTTAAATTAAAATGTTGACAGAATGTGACTTTTTAAGATAATTAATCATTTTATACATAGTATTGTATTCTCTTATTTTCAACTATGAAAATAAAAATGCTGATACTTATATGAATAGAACGTAGAGGTGTTCTAATGACTTGGAAAAATACCCGTTTGTCTCACATGTCCATAATTTATTCATTATTAGCTAAATTAGTAGAGAATTACCAGCAGAATTCCAATGAGTGATATGGACATTTATGACTCTTAATTATATGCAATAAAGAACATAATGATATGATTAAGAGTACATGATAATTCATTACAAACACCAATTAATCAAATAGTTTGCTTATATTGGCTCTAAAAAATCTTTAAACCATTTGGATGTGGGTGTAAAATTTGTCAATAGTCATTGAAATACCTTGGTACTTTTCGTTGCTGACATGTTTACGTATTCTCAAAACGATCTCAGCGCTAGGATATACTAGAGGCAATGTAGAGGATAAGACCTTAGAACATCCTACTGCTAAGATCGTTTTGAGAATACGGGGCATGGTATTTATACAATTTAATCAAAATTTCATTAATTTGTTATTAATTTTTCGCCTCTATTGTGATCTGAAAAGATCTGACAGCCTTTTTATCTTTCGCTATCCCACAATTCGTAATTGTTATTTGGAAATGGGTTCTACAAGAAACTCTTTGATTGGTTAATAATAATGTCATCAGATAGCAGCTTCAAAAAAAAAAATTGTAAGATTACCATCAGAACAATTTTCTAAAATAAGATTGATCTTATTGATAAGGTTTTGATTCACATTATAGATTTCCTCAATCAGACACGACTAAAACTCAGGGATAACAATGGTTTGTTAATTAGTGGAATATCCAACCACAAATTGTCGCTAGTCTCCTGACCCATCATGAAACTTCTTGTACAGCTATTCTGATCAGCGAACCACCAACCCCCGCCAAATCTACTCGGGCAGTTAAACGACGTATGGTCGCTATCGTATGTTGAAAACGGTCGACCTTTTTGCCCCACCATCGAGTTGCCACAATCTGGGAAATAAGATGATGGTGATTTGTAGGAATACGTAAAGATGTAGTTACCACTTTGTGCACTGATAGCAAAGCCTTGATAATAACTCATACATGTACTTGAACCATCCGATGCAAACACTGCCATTTTGTACGTAGATCCTGATGTCATCATCTGTAGGAGTCGATTAAACCCAATCCATCGGTTAGTAACCATCGTACCAAATCCAGCTTCATATTCTACCATACTGCGATTAAAACTTTCTCCTGAACAATCTAGATCACGTTCTAAAAAGGAGGTATATCCATCTCCAGATAACCAACATCTCACTTCAAATGGTTCTGGGGCTGCCAATGGCTGCACATTTGTTATTACAAATTTGCTTTTCTTTATACCATTATCATAGGCATCTGAGCAATCTGAAATATTGGTGTAGCAATATTAAGAAAGGTTTCTGGTGGTAAGTCAGATAAAAGAAATACATTACTAGACAGCATCATAATAAAAAGTTTTTTGTATTCAATATTTCTTGGTTAGAGGGACAAATTCACCATTTTCTGAGGTTAACTTGAGGTTTTGAAGATATGTAAATAGTCTTCAGAAGTACTAGAAATGTACGAAATTGGCATAATTCCTTTAAAAATATCTCGAACTAGGAGTTTCACTTTCTATTTCTATATATGTTACAGTCAATCTGTGAAATCAGCCATTTCATGAAATGCCTGAAATTTGTAGCCTTTTCATGAAATGACCAATTCACTCAGCCATTTCATGAAATGGTAAAATATTTCAGGCTTTTCAGGAAATGGCTGAAATTTCCATGTTAAAGTTACACTGATTGGCTGGTGCAATTTCAGCCAATCTGTGTAATGATCTTTGGCTTTATAGGGACTTTGATAGTATAGTTTGTTTGATAAAACTAGACTTTCTTCTGATGATTGTCTTTTCTTGATAAGCTTTTCAACATCGCCACACAATAGTAGTTCATATTTTGACAGTAGGTAGTACTAGGGTGGGGACATTTGCACTTTTCTTTGGGGCCATTTGATGTGTCACAACCACTCAACCAGTCACATGCTGACAAGTCAATATTTCACTTGAAACAAGCAACTTTGATGTGAAGATGGGAACTAAATGGTAAACGTATTGCAAAGATATATTGTTTTGGGGCAAGTTTGAATCAATGAGTGTATTAGGTTATCAGTAAATTCTGCTTGACAGCAAACGGATGCATCCTTCACGATAATAATACACTGGGTCCAACATTTACCTCTAGCAATTCGGTCACAATTTGTTCCGTAGAATCCCCAGGGACACGTACTTGACGAGCCATCAAACCCAATAGTCTACAAATAAAATAAAATAATATTTAAAAATATATCAATCAGGAAGTACATTACAATGTTAGATTATTTATTTATACGATAAACAAAACTATTAACTTCATATTTTTTGGAACTGAAATTTACCAGCCTGTTCCTTTTCTTAACAGCAAAAGCAAATTGAGCATCAAAACAGAACACATACTTTCGAAAACGAAGCTCAATGCTGAAAACGCACCAGGGACTGGGATTGGTGATTTTGACTTGTCATACTAATTGCGCACTAAAATAATGTCAAAGACGGAAGGGGTTGTAATAGGTCATGTTTAAGCGCAATTTCATCATCATCTTAGCCTGAAATACCAGGCATACTACCAACAGGCAAAGGAAGCCGGAGAGCTGGTAAGCCCTCCACCTTCTTAATATTACAGGTCCCCACGTTTACGCCTTCATGTGATTATTCTTACTTGTCTTGGTCCTGACGTCCGGTTCAAATGGAATGATTCTTGCCTACCTTTTGAAAGCAGCGACAACCATCAGAATTTCCAGATACTATGCAATCATTACTATCTCCAAACCGATTACATGTTGAATTCGATTTACAAAATAAAAATCGCTTACAATCATTATCCTTTGCGCACCATCTTGCACAAGCTACTAATGATACAGAGTGTCCTTTGTCAAGCTTCCAACTGGGATCACAGTGATAGTCTATAACCTTCGTAGCTCGATACGATGCTAATACATTAATTCCTTCTGTCGTTTGAATAAGAATAAATATTATCCAATTTAACACGGTAAGGAGATCTAGAAATATCATGATGTGATAAATGAACATTGTCCTAAAGTCCTAAAACAATTTTCAATATAACCAACGTTGATAAGAAGCTCACTGCAATAATGTTAAAAAAACACAAGACGTATTTAATTCTCACTGAAATATTTTCACCGGATATATCTGACGTTATTTCAATCTCACTATACACATATATTATTACTATATCTCAAGAATTCAGATAACATGTAATATTCCCAATCATATATATCCTAATCAGACGACTAACGTTGATAGTTTCAATCAGATATCTGAAGATGTTTTGATGCACAATATCTCTATTTAAATGTTGTTAAACCTATAATGATGCAGTTCCTAATCACCTGGCGTTAGTATAGTCAGACGCAATGCAGATTTCCCATTGACATGTACCAATACTCTTCTTCTGATGACGGTCCTAATAATAATCTGGCCTTAATTTGAATCTGGTTGCAATAGTCTTGATCAGATATCTGAAGATATGGTGAAGCTCAATTAAATGTTTAGTTTTTAAAGGTTTTTAAACAATGAATGATGAAGGTCAATGAAATCTGGTGCTATCCTTCAACTCATTAAAATAGTCCTTATTAACCGATGAATTGTTACTTTAACTGCAGAATTCCTATTCACATCTAGCAATCCTCTAATGATGCAGTTCCTAATTAGACGTTATTTTAAAATTCTTTATTTTTTGCCCAGCATCCCTAGAAGTCAGTAATACTGCGGACGTACTGAGTATCATTAATATCCTATTATTACGCAGGTCTTTTTTTAAATTGTTTTATTTTTCCTTTTTTTCAAAAAAGTATTCCTTAAGTATCCCCAGTACTACTGCAGACGTTGAATATCGTGCTGAATATCATTAATATCCCCCAATAACGCAGGTTAGGGTGTATTCTTCTTTTTTTTTTCTTTTATTTCAAAAAATATTCCTGATTGAACTTCTTTTTTCTTCCAATATCCCTAGAATTTAGTATTACTGCGGAAGTTAAACGGACAAGTTAAATATTTCTGATAATACTAAGAATCTAGAGTTTCTTCACTGATGCATACATAATAAGACGTTTTCTTAATGGTGACAACATTCAATTGAAGTTTCGTGATAAAATATTCCACATTAAGTAAACTTATATTAATGATATTCTTTACTGTTTGTAATTCGTCAGCATTGAAAGCTGATTGATTTTTCCAGTCTGATGAGATTATTGAAATTGAAAGAATCTAAAGAAACACTTTTAACACTTTTCTCATAACAAAAACTGATTCAGTTAAAAAATCAGGAATGCCTCCAACTTAAATTACTCTACCACAATATTTCCTTTTAATAGTAATGGTTTAATTCCCTTAATTCCGCCTCATTGAAATCCGCTTTGACTATCTTTTAATAGTCTTAATGGTATTGTCAGGTAAAATGATTATAAGATAGTAATCCGCCTAAAACAATTTAGCTCTCTTCTCATGGATTGTTATTTATTTCCCTGGTATCTAAGAAGAAGGAACAGCCCAGAGCAACAGAATGTAGACTACTCAACAACTATAGCAAAGATATATATAGTCTACCATCTGACATTTTTGTACATGAAATCAGTTGCCTCAGTACAAAGCGCTAGACCAAATGGTAGGCGTCTCTCTGACCTTTCACAGTCCTGAGGTGGCGGGAGATTTGGCTCATTGCAACTGGGCATCTCCCTTAACTTGATACCAATCTTCAAAGCATGCATTTTTGTTTTTTTAATGACCATAATAATGTAAAGCGCTCATTTTTAAACTTGATCTTCAATTTTGGTTATGTAGGCACATACTTAGTTAGATCAAAATCCGCTTAAAAATGTATAGCATTTATGAAGGAAGTGTGATCAGGAAGACAAAGATGCTATAATTTTACTTTGGTAATTTTGGTTTTGTGCGTAGCTAATCGTTGATGCACATCACTATCAAATTTGTTTATTGACATCAAATAGCAACATTAGTTTCTACAGCGAATATATTAAATGGTAAATAGTGACAATTAAAGTATTCAGGCTGAAAATTGAACAATTCAATTGCCAATATCCATGTGTTGAATCAAAAACTCGAAAAATGTTCGCCCATATTTTATCAACAGAGTCTGGGCTATTTTTATCTTGTAAATTACGGGATAAGCCAGTAATTATTGCTGGAAGGTATCAAAGTCTATACAATTCCTATTATCTCCATCTTTTGTATTCATAAAACGTACGGTATTTCTATGAACAATAAAAAACAATGTTTTATAAAAAAAAAATAAAAGATTTTAAGCTAAAGTAAAAATGAATTATGTGATTATCAAAAATTCTAACCCACAAGTATCCTCGTTAAAATATAGTAACTCATAAATATGTTAATATATTAACAATATAATATATTAAATTTAAAATATTAATTTTTTTAACAATTCGATTTACAAAATAAAATATACTTTATTCCACAAAACAAAACATAAAATAGTGCTTAATGATGTCAAGGTTTGACGAACTCGTAATATCGACTTTGTAAGATATAGGAAGTAAAGATATAATGTAGGGTTCCCCAACTTGCGGAGCATGCACCATTTGTGACGGATTAACGCTTGCAAAATGGCGCGCGATGGAATTTGAAAATTGCAAAAAAAATGGAAAAAAATGCAAAACCCTTCACGAGGATATCACGTCTGCACCCAAGCTAGTTCAGGTGCTTTGAAACCATGTTCATGGCGCTTTTCAATTCCAAATATGAAAAGTGGCGCTTTATCTCAGTTACTTGAGAAACCCTGATATAGTGTATCAAGTACCTAATTCACAGAGCTTCTTCAGTTCCAAAATATTGCACGAAAAATCCAACATGTTTTAAGATGCAAAGCTGTTCTTTGAAATGAGTTACACTTTTGTAGATGCAGTCCATTTAGACCTGTTGTTTACTAAAGTTCGTATTAACGATTTCGCTAATTGAGAAATAATGTTTAATATTCCCACAGACAATATAGGCTAATCCATATCAGGGTATATTTTTAAAAATCTTTAATAAACAAGAATAAAATTTTACAATCGCAATTTCTGAATGTGTTCAATTTATCAATATATAAGAAAAATCATTATTGTGCACTAATTTCAGGACATTTCTTAAAGAACAAACATACTCAGGTATGCCTACTAGGCGATCCAAATCGAAAAACGATACCAGAAATCCAACGCAACATCCCAGCGAAACACAGGTATCAGCTAATGATCTGTTCACATGAGGAAGTATATAAATCATATGTGATTATTATATACTTTGATTCAAATTAGATGTCGTAATTAAAACCATTTTTTAAATACAGTAACAAATCACAATTTTATTGAAATACAAAGTCAAACGTCAATATTTTAATTCCATTTTGATGATCATATCTATTGTTGAAATGATGATTCAAGCCCCATACTTTGATCAAGACATGCGTCAGTAGTAAATGGAAAGAATTGCAAAATCTGTATAAATTAGCAAATACAACGACAACATGTTTTCAGTATTGAAATAGTGCCCAATACATCAGTTATAAATCTAAAATTGATAAATATATTATTTAAATTATTTGTATAATGAATATTTTATTTGATTATATTTGTATTTATTTTCATATTGTCTTAGTAAATGTATTATCATTATAAACAAACCATGTTTACTCTTTTCAGAACATCTGATGGTATTTCTCTTTGAAGGAGTGTACTACCTTTACTCCCGATTTTGCCATTCTTTGGACGAGATATTTGATTGACGGAATATTCTTGCTTGTACGGATTTTTATTGTATGTCTTTGTGAGATACTGAAGAATGATTTTTTTTTTCTTTTCAAATAATGAGTAAAGTAAATAGAACCACAGACAGTGATTATATTTGTCAGAAATAAAATAAGGTAGCTTGCCAGGCTATGTAACATACGCAGTTGGCCTAACATACTTATTTTACAGTATTGAGGATCTATTTGTAGTTATCAAATTTACACATAAACAAGGTCTAATTAACAAACGCATTCGTTTCAAATTTCATCAACATTAGAATAACATCGTATAATCTATGATATGTATTTTTCATCCAATTATTATCAAATTTGTACTTGACCAAGGTTCTATAGATATATAAATGCATACCCAAGATCAAGATTGATTCAAATTTGGAACAAAACTTTTGTGTCTACAAGTCAAGGGCTTAAACTCCAAAACCGTTCAAGCGATTATTACCAAATTGAATCCGCGATCTCGTCAATATAAACATGCATACCAGTTTCGAATGAACACTGCAGTCTCTATTGAGTCTACAAGAAACAGGGGCAACGGAAATATATTCACATTTCTATGTGGGCGTATAAAAATAATGTGTTGTTAAAAGGAAATTTTTGTTTTCATTGGCATCAATAGTGAATTTTGCATGTATTATTTGTTTTGAGTTATAATTCAATTTGTGGCATACTCGATATTCACAAAGTCTTTTAATATATTTAATCTTTAATTAACAAAGAACAAAGTTTATTCGATAATCAAAATACAATAGGGAAATAGATAAACAATTTAAAAAGTGAGTACTCTTTGAATTCACTCTCTGAAAACAAAGGCAACTCATTATTGATTTTCAATTTCTCGGGGCACTAGATAATAATATATGAAGATAGATAAAGCTACGTCTTACCTATACCTAGCCTCTATCATCCATTCCAACTTTGCTCTAGACAGGAGAACTCTGGGTTTTAGAAACTAAGACATACCACACATTGAGGCATATTCAAATCCTTCATCGAGTTATCAACGCATTGCATGATTTTGTAGCTTTAAGTAGGAAATGCATCGTCTCTTTATATAACTCACTATCTCTAAGTAATTCGTAGTGTATTGCTTTTTAAATCTGTATCAATGCCTTATCAGTTAGCTGAAGAGAATTTTAGATTGCATCTTAACTGACAATGAGATGTGGGCGACATTTAAATACACAAAACAGTATCATTCATACAGCACATATAGCATTTAGCAGGATTGCAATTAACAGCTGCCATAATGAGGGCTAACATATAACAAAGGGGGACAAATTGGATATTTCTGGTTGTAGGGAAATTGAATTTCTTGAAACTTTTATTGCTTTAAATTTTGATTGAGAAATGTATCAGATTTCTGAGGTCATTACTTCATCAGAATAAAGTTGATCCAAGAATCTTCAGTATTTCAAATCAGACAAAAGCAAGAATGTATAAAACCAAACGAAAATTGGACCCAAGAAAAGCCGGCTAACAACATGAATTGCTTTTCAAGCTTATACAAAAACAAAACAGACCAATAAACATATTGTAAGCTTGATTCTAAGAAAGAAAAAGAAACAAACAACTATATTTTACAAGGATAACAACTTAGATTCACAGTTAAAGATCCTTTTTACCCGCCGGTCTTTGGCCAAACATCTTGGCATCGATCTTTCCTAGATTATCTGAAGCAGCTACTACATATTATGACACTGGAGATTTCATTATGAAATATAGCGCTAGTTTATACATAATATGCAATGGAAGTAAAATTAAGTGTTTTATACAGGTGATAATATGTACACTAATTACAAGTATAATCACTCTATATAACAAATCAAAATGCCCTCCTAATATCGTTTGTGGTTCACATGAGTCAATAAATTTATTACATAATCACCACAGATATCACAAATATTGTAATATATCCCTTAATATTTTTATTACATTGACTATATCATCTGTTATCACAGCAAAATGCTGAATGTTTGAGTTCACTGTTACCATTTTCTGTTAAAACTAACAGAAAAAAAAATGTTTCACATTCAATAATTGAAATACCGGTGTTGAGTTTGCACATTCTGTTTAATAGATCAGACAAGACTTGCCTGAGAAACCTCAAACCCAGCCAGAACTGATCCTGGTTCTGGAAACACCTGAGCACGTGACCTTCCGCCATGATAATTAATATAGTCAGAATTGTCCTTCACAGATTTCTCAGAGTTGTTATTCGAGTGATTCTTGTCTTTTATACGGGAGTACAAGATGTTTTTATTGTCCACACAAGGAGAACTTGTGGTACAATCAACACAAGAAGTACTGGTAGAGCACTCAATGCACGGCGCATCGGTCGAACACTCTATGCAAGGAGAACTGGTAGAACAATCAACACATGTAGCTGGAGAATGAGGTGGGGATTCACTAGATTGTCTACTTATAACTGGTCTTAAATAATGTTCATTATCCTGTTCTGACGTCTCTCTGTTATAATTTGTGTGGTAATATGGCGTTTCATCAGATCCTGTAGAAGGGCGTGGACTTCTAGATTTGTTTGAGCTTAATGATTGTCTTGGAGTAGGTATAGGTGTTCCGTTAGTGGTGTTACGCACTGAGCTATACGGCGGGGGATTGGAAGAAGAAGAACTGGGATTTCTGGAACGTTGAGAATCTGGTTGTGAGGTTATCTGGTGATATGGAAGAGGAATTTCAGTTTGAACTGAATGAGCAGTTTGGTGTGATGACAAGCCATATTTTTCAAGTTCTGGTGCTTGATTGAGTAATTTTAAGTATTGATCGCTAGTTTTAGCTCTAGGATTGAGGTAGCCTAGATGATCCAGAAGGTCAGCTGTATAAGGATCCTGGGCTATCTGTGTATAGGTTGGTTGAGATGAATCGTAAGAAACAGTTCTCTTCATTCTTTGTCTGGATGACAAGTCTACAGCCTGAAGGAGAAAATAATTAAAAAAATATTACAACTCTGAGCAAAAGTTGAAAATGGTAATCCAAAATGTGTCAAGTTCAAAACATTATTAATAATTCATTATGAGTGAACTGCAATAGTAACCTATGCAAGTCAAATGGCTGGTACATGACAAGATGAAATTTGCTTCTACCTAAAGCAAAATGTCGCAGACCACATGAGCTTGCTCTTATTAAATTCCTGTCATTCCAAGAATCTGTGTCCTTGCTGAAAGACTTAACAGGATTATAAATGTATAATGAATACCTTTTCATGTGTTTCTTCAACTAAACCCATTAAGCTCCTCAGACGCTTTTTCTTGCTTGTTGGCGTTAGCCGCACGGATCCACCCCCTTAAAAAAAACCAAAAACATTCTTTCAGTAATGAACAAATAAACCTTCAGTAATGATTGTTGGCTGAAAACTTGAAAAGGTTCCTTTTACGTGATTAAAATTTGTAGAAGAAAATGTTTCAAGGGTCAAAAAACCTTTTTAAAATCAAGTACAAATAAACTTATTTAAAGTTGCCATCTTAGATTGGAACGAACTTCATTTTTAAAGACTACTCCTTTTATATTATACCTATTGTATATAACAAGGCAATCAAAACAAATTTCAACATCCAAAAGAGCTCAATTTCAAATATCTGTATCACTTTCCAAGATTCAGATCAAACATACAGTTCTGCAATTCAACACTTTCATAATGTCACTAACATTCTTATAAATAGTAAGTATAAATTTAATCTATAAAGCACTACAGGTATCTGAAATTGAGCTCTTTATCAGCTATTAAAGCAAATATACAGATGACTATTTCCATTTCATCATCTATATATCAAGATTGGCTACTTTAAGCCACAATAGTGATTACAAAAAACCATGAATAAGATATGTAATGAATAAATACTGATTAGGCGATGCTGAGTTTCAGAGAAACAGATAATAGGTTTTTGAATGAGATTTACTATTACATTAATATATTGAATCATGTCAACATGCAAGAGTAATTGAATTAACACTTAAATATTATATCCACACTTCACTATGTAAACATGCAATCAATGGTAAAGAAGTAATAAGAAATCTATATGTTTAGAAATCACCAAGCATATAAAATCCATAAGATTATTTAACTTTAATCAAAAACAATACGAGCAATCAATAATCAATACGAATGAAGGATTAATATAAAACCAATGATTTGAAAATGTTATATGTGTCAAACTATGAATGATGGAAAATTTATATTAACAACAATGTCAAACTCAGGAAGTAAATATATGTTAACCAAATCAACCAAGAAAAAAAACAACCTTGATATAACAGCCACCACAAGATAATAACAATGTAGAGAAAAACAAGACACATTACAAATAAATAACAATAGAAACAACCTCTGGATGACAACCACCTCTACATTACGGCCATCACATGATAAAATCTTTGTAGATAAAGGAGAAATCTATAATGAAACACCATATAACAACACAATTGGATAACACATACAAGATAAGGGATACCAATATAAAGAACCTTTGGATAACGACCACCCATATCAAAGACTACCTTGATATAACAGCCACCAGATGATACTAACAATGTAGATGAATGAAAAAAAAGGGTTTAACTAAAAAATAATAACACCCCAATCGACAACCCTTGGATAACAACCACCTCTATATTAGGACCATCACTTGTTAATAACTTTGAAGATGAACACAACACAATTAGATGACAAATTGTACGTAGTGATGGGTAGATTAAATATGTATAATATAGAACAGGAATATAAGCAACCTCTAGACAACAACAGTCATCTCTATATAATGGCCACCTCCAGATGAATGACTGCCACTGGATAGGGAGACGGGCAAAAAATAACAGCCTCTATATAGCGACCATTTATGTAAAATGACCATCCTAAGTATGTAAGTAAATGATAAACAAAATTTACTGCTATGAAACAACACACACTACTGAATAGTGGATGATAAATTAATTAAAAAGTTAATATATGAAGATGGAATTGAGCTGAACTATCAACAACCTCTAAATTACGACCACCTCTATATAATGGCCACTTGAACAATGAATATAATTGTGAAGGGGACAAACTGAAATTAAACACCACACTTAACATCAAAAAGTAAAGGAAGTGAACAAGTAAATAAAGGTAAACAAAACTGAAAGGGTTAGGTATAACAACAGCCTCTATATAGCAACCACCTTTAAATAACAACCACCTCTAAATTACAGCCACCAATGATACCTGTTAGGGTTGATGAGTTGACCTCTGATAGGATGAACTTCTTGTCTTGCGTATTGGCCCCTGCTCCTGTTTGTCTGGTTGGTTCCTCGATGCCCGCTACCTCGTCATTAAAAGCAAGATTAGCATAATTCCATAATAAGTAAGAGTTTGGTTTCAATTAAATATTATTTTAAATATATCTAAGAGAAACATGCAAAAATTAACTTTCATGCATGGAAAAAATTGAAATAAAACAAAGAATTTGAAGCAACTTAATTATAACAGGCCATTACAGAGAAAAATCTTATCTAAAATAAGATTCAAAATAAGCTCAATAAGTTTCAATAAAAAATGAACTCAATGAAGGAATAAAAATGAATTATAGATGCCGACTCAGTTTTCAATAATCAGATCTTATTTATCACATTTCTAACTGTTGTAAGTTTTGTCTTCAGTGAGTTATTGATATGAACTGCTTTATTCAGAAGAAACTGTTAAAAAGACTAGTTAATGTTTAAATCATTGAGCTGAATAATGACGTAATTTGTGTCAGTTGACAATTTATCATTCTTTTAAATTTCACACCCTAACAATAGTGTTGACATAAACCTTGTGTATCAATTATTTTTAGATTTTATTCAGATATGGCATCATCTCTATTTAACATTTATTGGTTTTATAGATGGTCCATCAAAATATAAAACACAGACAAAATAAAACAGCACTTTCAACTGCCATCATATTCTAAATATCTTTCTCCTTCTTCTACAACACTCAGAAACTAATAAAAGCACATTTCAATTCAGATATATTTGAAGGGAAGCAAATAAAAAACAACTGAAAAATTATCTACTACTTTTCATGCAAAGCAAAAGGCAAAACTAAGTTAAATCAAACAAAATGAGCAATTTAATAATAATCAAAAATAGTTCAACCAAAAGTAAACAATTTCATTGGTATTTATAGCCAGTTTCTTAAAGAAATAGCTAATAAAATAGATTGAAGAACTCGCCCCAGTTCTGCACATATCTCAATCATTCAAATACTTGCAACTACATGCAAAGTTAGCTTGTAGAAGATGCTGATTATCATATACTTGCAAGTATAATGTGCATTCATGCACAGCCCTTGGTTCACTTAGTGTTTTTTTTACAATTTGGTCTTAATTCATTAATAGGTTGTCTAATTCCATGGATTTAATACTATATATATTTAATAATTAACAAAGCAAGGTGCCAAATCATAATATCTCAAGTAACCCTAGATTGTTAGGAAATTGATAGATTAAGCTTTGGTTCCAATTCCTTGAAATTTTGTTTCCGACACCAGGCACTGGTATTTATAACAGTTATAAGTGTCTTACCATCTAATGTTTGTGGAGAAGATTGTAAGATCTGTTCAGGAGACATCTCACCACACTGTTCCTGTATCTGTTTTAATTTTAACGATATACTGGCAAAGGAAGGTCTATTATGGGCATCAAAACTCCAACAGTTTTCCATTAAAGAATATCTGAAAAACATTGGATTTGTTGAAACACATAAAAACCTTTCATTAAAATTAAGGACATTTAACTGTAAAACTCAGAAAAAGCATGAGCCTTGGTAATTATTTTCAATGTAATGGAGAAAAACTAGCTATTTTTAACCTTTCCAACAATTACTATGTAGCATTACCACCCACCTAGAATGAGTAAAAAGAATTTCTCAGTGATGTTAAGCTGTTAATAAGCTTGAAAATTATATGTCATATAAATTATTAGCAAAACTTTGTGGCCTTAGGCGACAAGTTGTGTATTTTAATCATTAAAATTTTTAATAGTGTTCAAATGAAAAACTTTCAGTTCTAGGTGTCGGAATATGATAACATATACACCAACACCAAGGCTTCCTAATAGTCCTAACTGTATAGTTGTGAATAAAATGTGCACCCATCATTCCTTAAAATAAACTTACATTTCATCTGGACATTTATCAGGTTTGTCTAGTTTACCACCAGATCGTACAAACTGTAAAACTTCTACATTAGTTCTAGCTGGGTATGGTTGCTGCCCTAATGTTATTACTTCCCACATTAGTACTCCAAATGCCCTGAAAGAAGACATGAACCACGTCATACAAATCTAATACATGTTAAGTTAATTTTAAATAGCTTTTGATTTATATATTACTAGCTTAATGGAATATTTAGGGCAGATATCAAAAAATGTAATAATACATTCAATATGGGGTACAAATCTGAATAATATACATATGTTTATATAGCTTATGTTTGATAATATCTAAGACTGATTTTATCAAACAATGTAATAGTATATCCAATATGGGAGAAAATCTGCGTATTATACTCGCAAATATACAGTATGCTGCATCAGAGTATAAACCAACACACATGATTTCATAAAAAACAAACTGTAGCCTTTATTACATTCACAATCCCATTTTGGACAAACAGATGCACTAGGGCAATAGCAATATATATAGATATATAGAATGTTGATATATAAAAATATAAAGAACAAACCCATAACTTACCAAATATCAGAATGAGTTGTAAATACTCCATCAACTAATGATTCAGGAGACATCCATCTAACTGGTAATAATCCCTCCCCTTCTTTACGATAATAATCATTTTTATAGATATCTCTAGCTAAACCGAAATCTCCAATCTTCACCACCATATCACTGGGGTTTTTACTGGATACCAAACAATTTCTAGCAGCTAAATCTCTGAATTGCAGAAACATTTTCATATTATAGCACTAAGAGCAGTATTAGGTGTTAAAATAGGTACTCAAAACTTATGAATTAGGATCAGGATCAATTTTCACATGGAATATGTTAAAACTGATTTTTTTTCATTCAGCGAAACAGAATGAATACCAATACAAAGGTCTTGCATAAAAAGCAGTATGGTAATTTATATGATGTAACTTCATCTTGTATTGTTAGAGTATTATTGGAGATAAATTTCTGTAATGAATCTACATCTAAAATAGGGCTGTGTCGGTTGTGATATTGTTCATAGTAAAAAAGAAAGTTACCTGTGAACAAAATGCATGCCTTCTAAATATTCACAGCCACTGGCCACATTTACACAAACCCGTACTAAATCTGGTAGGTATAGTCTGGGTGGACTGGACTGTAAAATACCAACAATTAGTTTATAATTTCATCGTTACATCAAACTGATTTCTCATATGATGCTGCTATTCAACTGGAGTCAAACCATTCTAGTTTTAAACACAGTTACAACCTCAGCAGAGACGGAGCCAGGTTTGCATCCTAAGGGGGACGAAATATCTGAGATTGCCTGAATTTCTAACCTAGTTATGGGATTTTTGCCTGAAAAACTTGTTTTCGGCGCTTTGAGGGGTGCGGCTGACCCTCTGCCCCCCCGTTTGGCTCCGCCACTGAACCTCAATGTTACATGGAGTCTCTGAAAGAAGTTGGGTCAACTAACCCAGTAAATTTATATGTCTATTTTGGATCATGGAGGTAGTAAGTCTGCAATTTATTACCAATTTTAGCCAATGGAAGAAAACCTGCAATTGATTCTGAACATTACCAGTACTTACTATTGTGGCTCTACAGCATCTTAAATATGACAATAAATCACCACCTTCCATTAACTCCATTATAATAAACTGTGGGTCATTATCCAAACATACACCCAATAAACTTAATATATGATCATGTTTAAAATTACTCATCAATACAGCTTCTTTTAAAAACTCATCTTTTTCTTGATCAGATGAATTCTTTCTTAATGTCTGAAATAGATTTGGACTGTCATAATGTGTTCAAAGGCTTTATCATTAGATCAATACTGAAATGAAGGAAACATTCTGCTCTTCTCCATTTTATTTGGCTAGCTATGTCTGGAATAACTATACACTGTGCCAAGGGGTAGTGTTGCCAGGAAAGCAATGCCAAATCAGAAAGTCACTTTCAATTTCCTAGTGTCCACTACAATTCCCTGAACCATACTAAACATTCACTTTTTCATCCATTTTGGTATGGGTACTTTGGTTATTATTAATAATTTGAAAGACTACAGAAATACTGTCTTCTTACTTTAACAGCAACTCTTGTGTCACCAACAGCATCATTGAGATATTTAGCAACACCTTCAAATACTTCACCAAAAGCTCCACTACCCAGAAACCTGGTCAACACTAATTGATCACGGCGAAGATAGGGGAGAGCTGCGATATCTTCATCTGTTGGCACAATACTGGAAAATACATTGAAATAGTTCGACAATCTACATAATAAATGATATCATGCATGTTTGGGTGTAAAAAATTAACAAACATTAATTTACACATATCATCAAAATTAAGGGCTGATTGTTTTCAATTTTTTAAGAGCTTTTTTGACAATTACAACCAATTCATAAATATAAATCTTTCAATGTCATTTTAATTTCCTTGAGTGGCATTTAGTAACTGGGGTATGAATAACTGGCAAGTTATTTATTAAAGTAATTGTTATCCATATAATTGTGTCCAGTTATTCAATGTCATTTTCAAGAAAAAACCTATAAGATTTTTTGAGAAAAACAATTAGCCACTACATAATCTAATAGGCTTATCAAAGATTAATTGAATACAACTTTACTTGCCAAACCCAAACCGACAGTATTTATAACAGTTACCTGAAAGCATATAGTGTATTGCTCTGTTGGACTGCTGTCAGAGGTAACTCTCTTAAAGTGGCTAGCTCTACATCAGGTCCTCTAATAACAAATGGTCTAGGTTTCTTTGCTTTCTCCAACTGTCTCCTTCTCATTACTATTTAAAACAAAATACAGTTTAAATTCAGTTCAAATTTAATCAATTTTCATGACCATAGATAGTTTTAAACAAATCTGCAAATTTGAACTGCTACTCTGAAAATACTACTATTTTGTACTGCATATACTGTATAATTGTGAATACTATGCGCACCCTTTATTACCATTATGTATATCATACAGTCATTCAACAAGTAATTCAGATGACACATATTGCAACAATACCTGACAAGTTGACAGAAGATGAAAAAACAATTACCTAAACAAATTATAATTGCCACCACAATAATAATAAACAATAAAATAACAGCTACAGACACAGCAACTATTATAGTAAACTCTTCATCACTACTTGATGCTGCAACTACAAATACATCACCAGCATATTTTATTGAGAAAATACAATCCTTCATACACTTTGTCACAATTTTGTGCCCACTGGAATTGGCTGTTTTGAGCACCGATAAGTATTATAGAAAATTTCTGAGTATGAATGATTATAAAAAATCAAGCCATCCAGAACATTAAGATGGATATCATATTTTCTTCAATTAACCAAGTCTTTTATATGGGTGTTTTGAAATGACAGCTGTCCAGAACGATATCTATTCAATTTCTGAACACCCTTTATATATGTGTTGCTTTCTGCTCGGTATTGAAAAACATAAAACTTACTACTTGGTGCTACAAATGTGCTGCTGTTTAAACTTGTAGGTCCCCAGCCATTAGAGTTTTTGGCAGTGACACGGAATATATACTGAACACCTGGTACAAACATCTCATAGTCCATATTCCATCTTTCTTTACTACCATTATATACTACTTCCCAGCCTTCCATATCAGATTCACTGAACATTCAAAAATATATACAACATAATAGCCTTGTATTTCAATCATATTATTCTACAGATATAAATTACAGAACAATATCAATGCATAATATCATAGTCATAAAGTCCTGAATTTCTCTTTCTAATTACACTGTTAACATATTTACAACAATCAAATTGCATCTGATAAAAGTCAAAATTCAATCTGACTTGTACAATATAATCAAGGAGAGATTTGTATCGATTTCCAATGGTTAAATGATACCATAATCAGAATAAATAATCCACAATGGCTACAATAAAGAATACAAACCTGGACTCTAATTTATAAAGTTCAATAGGAGCACCATGATCAACAGGTGCTTGCCACTCCACATCATGTGATCCTTCTTTAACTTCATTAATAATTGGTGGTAGTGGTTCTCCTGGTATATCACCTACAATAAACATAGTATAAATATCTCTAAGAACACTTCTTTAAAAAGATGATCTTATACAGCCTCGTAGAAAGAAGATATTGAGAGAAGGCAGAAGGTGCATCAAAATGCATACATATCTAAAATAATATTGACTCCTTCCAGAACAATACAAGTCACTGTAGACATGCTTTATAAAAATGGGCAGCCCACTGTTAAACCCTAGGTCTTAAAGCATGATATGCTTACTTCTCTGGGAACATTTTGATTTTGAATTTTGATATTGTTACAAATTAATATATGACTCTTAAATTAAATTAACAGACTTACTAAGTGTTTGAAACATGAATCTAAATTTATCCCCAATAGGCCACTGGATTACACTAATAGGTGCAAATCTATATGATAGTAGAATAAAGAATCTATACTTGGTGAAAGGTTCCAATCCTTCTGCCAATAACTTGTAAGATGTGTTAGTGCTGGTTGTTTTTGGCAGGTAATATTCTCCAGGAATGATCTCAGTCATTCCATCACCGTTGATTATAATCTAAAAACACAGACAATAAACAATACGAAAATAGTTAATCAAATTATTATCCAGACTCAGACTTGTTATTACCAATAGAAATGCTGACAGTATCAATATGCAAATCACACTTTCAAACCACAATATTCAAAAATCAATATTTCATTTTGACAGCAAAGGACAAGTTCTATGTAACAGAGTACCAAGGAAGTTTTTGAAAACACATACAAGTATCTGAGCCTATTTACACAAGGAACAAAATAATTGTTTCAACAAACCAACACTTTTTGCACTTTTGAAAGCAATGAGTAATTTCTATGTTATAGAATAGCATGGAATAAAGCTTCAGATTTTTACAAAACTGAGAAAATCAAAGTGAAAATACCTGTTCATACAGAATATTATGTCTTGTAACACATTTATCAGAAGGTGATGTCCAGTTGATAAGAATAGATGATGGTGTAACATTCTTTAGTACTATATCATTGGGCAGCTCACATGTCGTAACAGACACAACTTCACTTTCACTGTACTGCTTACCTTCATAGTCATAACATAGAACCTGTAGAATAAAACACAACATACATTATGTAAAAATAATTCAAAGGGGAATGCCATACAGTGTAAAATATAACAAAGTTTAACAAGACAGTTGTGTCATCATGTAGCTTATATTGCCACTATTTGTGTTCAATCTGTTCCTTGAAACTTTATTATGGAAAACAGGATAAGTTATGCAATATTCTATGTCATTTTGATAAATTTTTCCTTCTAACGAAATAAAGCTTCTTTCAACCTTTTGAAATTTCTTAAAAAAATTTATACAAATACTCCATGCCATACTGACCTTGACATTATAGGTTTGGTTAGCAAGAAGTTCAGAAACAACAGAATACAGAAATCTGGTCTTCCTGTCTTTCCTTACAGAACCTGGTTTAGTTTGACCTTTAAGATGAACCCCATCATCAGTAACAGTGGACCAAGCCACAATACATGATATACCATCTTTAGGTCCATTAGCTTTCAATGGTGGTAGCCAGTTGACTCTTACTTCTTGAAATGACAATGGACCAGCTGATACATTCCTAGCTTCTGATGGAGCTGAAAAACAAATCGAGCTTTTCTAACTGACAGTCATTATTACCAAAATTTAAAATGTTCTAAGTTTAGCTTATTTTAATGAAGTCCGAAAGTCTACCAACAACAACAACCAGATTACCATAAGATATCCAGCTAGACCATCAGATAAATCTAGTAACCTGAATAAAGTAATATATCTTCTTATGGCCTCAAAGGCATCAAATCTTCCAGGTGTCAATGGGAATAGTATTTGATGAAGAACAATATATAAAGTAAATCCAACAAACCTCCATGAAGAGTAGAATATTGGAATCGCTTGCCGAGAGCTTCAGATAAATATTCTGTATAGTAATTACTAACAGCTACTTGAAATATATAATCACTATAAACATCTAGTCTTTCTATAGTCACTTCTTTCTTGTAAGATTCCTAAACAATGAAAAATAACCTATTATGTCAGTTCTATTCATTTTTCGTAGTTTCCTAACAACTCAACAAAGTAAGTTTGAGGGTAGAATAAAGCCATTATCTAACAATCTTGTTCCCAATCTTTGCTTCTTGAGCTCTCTTATGACATTTTGACGCAGCTTGGTATCCCTTCTTCCACCATAAGCACTGTGGAAGGAGTCAATATTCCAACTGAATTCAATGAATTATTTCCTCAGCAATAATGGAATTTCAATGAGGCTTGAAAACCCATTGTATTGAGAGAATGTTAGAAAACAGGATATCTCATGAAGTTGACCTGCAGTATATAGAAGTGTTGGGAGTCGCGCGAACACCACTTTTTGAAACACCTGATGGTACATCTTTTTAAAACTACTATATAACTTTTAGTCTTGATTTTGCCATACTTTGAATTAGATTTTGATAATGAAATTGTCTTGCTTTTTTTCACTCACCACAGATTGGCAAGAATCAGGATCATTAGAACAATCTGGTAGTGGACTAGTTCCATCAGTAGGTGAATCCTGTTTACGGTAATATATAGTAAACTTATCTATGGGTAAACTAATACCATGACAAGCTGTTGGTCTCTTTACTTCTTCCAGTTGTAATGTAACAGATGAATTGGTAATCTTGATACCTGTTACTGAACCATTGTATGCTCCTGGATCCAAACAGATTGAATCTACAAATACAATTTAATAATAAATTATTTATTTAAACAACTTATACTTTGAAAATGTATTGCTATAATATAGTTACCTGTAAATTTAAACATTGATTTCATATGAGGATCATACTAAAAAAACCTTTCGAGTAACAGGTCAGAAATTTTAGACCATGCTAACAGACAAGGCTAACAGACAAGGCTAACAGTTTCTTTGTATATGCCACAGTTGGATATTTAGGTTTGTTAATACCATCTTACATGAATGAATGTTTATAGATGTTTACACAAAGGACAATAGCAACGAATGTAAAGAAGTTGCTGTACCTGGAAGAGGTTGGAGATGTGCACCATAAGCTACCATATCATTAATATCTGGTTGATTTAACTCTATATAACCTGTACCACTTTCTTTATAAATACTATATAGTTTCTCATCTCTAGTGTTATACCAGTAAACTCTCATATGGTCTATAGCTATTAGATCTGGTGGTAAACCTACAATCAAAACAACAATATTTGGATTATGCTGACTCTTAAAAGGTCTATTTCATGAGAGTCCTATGACACTATCAACCAAAATACTTCATTATGTTCATATTGAATCAACAACTCTAAATCATTATGAATAAAACCAATACACATAGAATTACTGAAGGTAACTGCAAAAACTTCACTAAGGTGCAAACTTCGTGAAAGCAGGGCAGAACAACTTGCTCTAATGATATACCTGATAGTACTTCTCTTTGGAAGAGTTCACTACTATACTATTATTTGGACGAGATTTTTGATTGACAGACTTTTACTAAGAGTAGGCTACTTTAATACACATTACTCCAAAGCACACTAACAGCATGAAAACAGTCTCAGTCTCTAAGTTTTAATAATATTATGTACCATTATCCTGTGAATTTGAAGCTTTATAAATTTCTCGACAGACACAACCATGTACATCAGTAGCTATAATAGATCTTCTTTTCATATCCACAATAACTATCTCTGTTGAACCATCATCAGTATAGTCCATAGAGATCAATGGTGATACATTTATATCATCTTCACAGTTACAGCTACGTTTTCTCCTCTCACCAGCTCCTGTATTCCCCAGTATAGCTTCTACATTAGTTCCATTTATATTGCTCTGGAATAACTGTCCTTTACCATTCTTGTCTATTTCTGTCCAGAATAATGAACTGAAAGGAACCAGAATCAAGAGGATTACCACAACAAACAAACATCAAAAATAGAAAAGATCTTGAATGATCCTTGATAACTATCAGATTTCAACCTCATTGATTTTAATGGCTTGTGGAGTTGAGACTCCTGGATTGCTCTTTCAACATATACGTCCTTCTTCTCCATGAAAAACAACGTTGGCTATGTCTTCTTGTGGACATTGTTTTTTGATTAATCAGTTATTAGGCATCCAAATTAACTGCAACTGATAAAACTTCCAACAACTGTCAATGTAAAATTGATTGCTAAATAAGTTACCTTGTATAAGGATCTGAAAGAACACTTCCAATAGTGGTGTTTCTATTTATAACTAATTGATATTTCTGCTGATCGACATGGTATCCCATAATTCTATCACTCTCTCCACCCTTTCCTTCCTCTACTATATACAATGTCCTACTGACCCAGTCCATAGTCATATCTTTAACTGAATTGTTTAACTGCATTAACTGAAATAGTCATATATTGAAATTGGTAGAGGTCAAATTTTTCTTGAGGTCAAGATCAAAGGCATAAATATTCATGATTGAGGGCAGTGCTGATGACTAGGCTGTATTTCGGGGCATGACCGACAGACCAGTTCAGATATCCGTTGTTAGCAAGGATGTATTGGATATAAAGTGAGGGTTGGAAAAAATGTGGAATTTAAAGACACTTCAAACAATAGAGCAATACCCAGGTAACTTTCGGAAACAGCTGAAGATATACTTTCGTACTCGTGCTTATTTCAATCTATGAGAATTATATTGGCTGATTATGAAATAATGTTAACTATCAACAATAGACCAAACTTACTGGTATTTGTGTTGCTTCTTTAGAAACAAATAATGAATTTGACCTTTCAATCCAGAATGTTCTATCATCTTGAGCTAAGAATGCCATTGCTGATGGTGAAACACTGGGTAACATGACTGTAGAGTTGAGATGATCATCCATTTCTGATATTCTTACAGCTGTCTTTGTTGCTATCAGTAACTTGGGAACTGGATTTACAGCTGGAAAACAACACAAATGAACCTCAGTGATAATTAATTAAGACAATTTTATGGATGGATACTTCTAAAATATTTATTACTTTCAATGTTTCAGTGTGGTTCTCACACTGTCATCAGTAATACGATGAAGCTGTTTGGAATACTACAGTACAATAAGCCAAACCAGACTGTATGCTGACACAATAGATAGATACGCAATCACAATCATTCCAGATGTCAAAAGAATGAGCAGAAGAAGACTGCAAATGAACTGACTTGAAATAGACTTACCATCTGTTTTAGCAGAAACTATATCTGATGAAGGACCACATCCAACTTCTGTACAAGCCTCAACCTGGAGAGTAAAGTTTAATTTCCATTCATAAAATTCATATCAAATCTCAGTAGACAAAAACTGTTCACTTAATATGACAGACATAATTCAAAAGAATATCCTTGTATCCCAAAACAAGTTTCAGATTTCTGAAATCAGCCAAGATTTGCCAATATTTCCATGACTTTTATAAAATCTTAAAGATGTTCTATACCTTAAAGAAGTATGTTTTATTGGGTGCCAGGGGGTTCATTATAAAGTGTCGAGCAGTTCCAGGAACTCTAATAGATTTTACATCCATCTGATCTCTCTCCCAATAAAATACATTATGATACTGTAATATACCATTTATAATACCAGGTGTCGACCAGCGAAAATCAGCAGCTAAAGATTGTTGAGCTGTGGTAGCATTTTTATGTTGAGTTACATATACCCTTGGTGTTAAAGGAGCTTCAGGAACTAAAAGGATAATTCATGGAATTTAGACACAAATGATATTAAAAAAGATAATTTTTACCATGATTAAACTCTAAAACTTATTCCAAATCCTACACAAGCACTTATTCATTGTTTTAACATTTGACAATTTCTATGAGGTATTTGGAGAAGTTAATGTTAAGTCCTTTGATTATGTAATTCTTCAATGAACACTCACCTGACATAGGAGATCTTAATGGTATAGTAACAGAGTCAGCATACCCCCAATATGTATATGGTTGTATTGTAACTGTCATCTGAGTATAAGGCGAATAGCCTTCTATAGTGTGTGCTGTATCTTTTGTTATCTGTGAAAGGAAATAAATTCTATTCAATAACAATAAAAGCACTAAGAATATTTTTCTTATGCAAAATACTGATCCAATGAAAAATAAGCATACTTACAATGTGTTTGGCATAATGTCTAATTTGTATATACAGCTTATATAAAACTTCTCCATGATTCACTTCTGCTGATGGTCTCCATGTAAGATTGAACTTTGACCAATTACCAACAACTGAGAGATCTGATGCTGACATAGGGTTTGGAATTACAACTGTGGTTGAGGCATTCATTCCACCTATTACAAGAAATACAATCTTGATTAAAAGACAACCAAGATGTTTGGACATAAAAATATACTCAAATGTCTTCATTAGTTTGTCACATGTGGATCAATTTACAAAAAAAAAGATTTTTTTGCCTGTAACTGCCAGTATCCACTTTTAAAATCAAAACATGAAATACACCAGAACTGTTAATTCGAGTGAAAAATTAGAATAAATACTTGTACATAAAAAATATTTCATGAGCACTAATCTAAAAGATAGATGTAGTCTATGCAGAATTGACGTGGTTTATCTTTCTTTGGAAGAATAGACATAGGAGAATCGAAAGCAATATTACAATCATACATTATTGAATGCATAAGAAATGGAAAACAATATTAATGTTGTTTACAAGTCAATTACCAAATTATTGAAATTATTAAAATTATCCAGCACTGCTTGTAGGCCTATCATATTTTGACTAAACAAAGGACATACCTGGATATCTATGTAATGAAGGATGACTGACAGCGAATGACGAGATATAATGGTTGGCAGGGGAAATAACTGAGGAATAATTTCCTTCGTGATCACCAACAACTACTGACTCAGTTTGATCCAACCAGAATAAATGATTAGAATAATATTGTAAACCAGATGATCTGTAAGAAGAGAATACTGATTTTAAAAGAAAAATGTATGTTTTTAACACAGTTTCACCTACAACAAATATTCATTTTGCAAACAAACAAAAACAGAAACATTCACTTACTTTGAAATACTACGGAAGTCACCATATTTCTTAGCAGTAGTTGATGACAGCTTTGAATTGGCCCCATTTAATCCAACTAAGTCAGCCATATACAAATCTTGACTCTCAAAACTTTTGACAAACCAGATGACCTTCTGAAGGTCAAAGTTCAAAGCTAAACTTATAACATGGTATCCAGAGAAGAATTCCACCATAAATATCTGTGTAGGATCATCACCATTGAGGTATGTTGATTCTATGGTATTAGTTGTTGCCCAATATAATCTTCCTGCTATAGAGTCAATAGTCATATCTCTAGCAGACGTCTGATATATAGACTCACTTACTATACCATTTAAATCAGATCTTCTTATCTACAAAATTAAATAATAAGAAAGCTTAAATCCAAAATCCTGATATGATATTTTTCCATTATAATCCAAGGCAACATTTGTATGTAAGAATATATGCATTCAATATTTCTAATATTAAGCTACTTATATATTTCATATTGTGACCTAAACTACCTCCAAAAATTAAAAACAAAACTCTTAGTGACATTGCAACATGGATCAAATATTCCATCAAAAATATTTTCTTTGTATTTAGTTTTAACATTGAAAAGGAAAATTGAAGCATGCCTTATTAATGGGTAAATACAAAATAACAAAAATCAAAATTATTCACATAAAAACATGAAAAAAATGTCACTCCTAAATAACAACTAATACATTACAAAAACTGGTAAAATTGTTACTTGAAAATAGGTTGAAAGGTCAAAAAGTGAACACCATCCAAACATTGAGAGACTTACCACACTATTTACCCATAAACCACTTTGTATTTTCACTAACTGAATATAATCCGGTATGAACTTAGAAATCATAGAAAAATTCATAAATATCTTGAAATTTCAACACAATGTCAAAGGAAGCTCTCTTAAAATACTGTTTTGTGCGAAGAAGTCAATAATCAAAAGGATGCAAGATAATTCAAGGAGAAAGACATTAAAGAAATTGCAAAATATTATTTCTGTGGAGTGAAGTTCGAAACTATAATGACCAGTAGCTTAATTCCTATCAAGAACAGCGAAAAAAAACACCAACCAAAAGCAATTTGAGCATGATGAGTTAAAATTCTAAGAAACTTACTGTATTTCTATCAGGCTCAGACCAAAATATTTTCTGTCCCAGCCAATCGAATGTAAGACAAGTGGCAAACTGGGCATGATTATTCACAGATTGTTGTCTGGTTTGTTTGTTATACAGTAATAGTTTACCATCAGAGTTGGTCCACATCACATGGTTATTATACCAGGATATATCTGATAAAATAGAAAATAATATCCAGCCTTCAAAAGTAAACTTTTCATTTGTGGATGCAAAAGTATCCTTTCATTTTGCAAAAAGATAATTTTATCCAGTAGATGCAAAGGCTTTTAAACTTTTCAGTGATAGACGGCAGATGAAGTAGATCAAATCTGTCAGCATGAAACAGAGTTTCAGGTTCAGCTCTAATAATCCATTTGAAATTTAAATATTGAAATTTGACTTGATCTAAATATCTACAGATATTTTTAAAAAATATCACTGTGCATTGCCAGCCTCATCCGATTTTGATTCTTGATTAACAGTAAGAACTCATGTATTGTACAAATAAAATATAAGCAATGGAGTAAATGAAACTCACCAGTAATAGGAGACACTACATGACGTAAGGACTCTACTTTATATTCACTTAAATCATGTTCTAATATTTCTCTTTTTAATGCTAAATAAACTTTAACTGGTATTGGTTCTGAAAAATACAACATATATTAGAATAAGGGCCTGGATTGGAAAAAAGTAAAAGTATATTTCATGCTAAATTGAAAGTTTATAACTTATGCCAAATTCATTTACATCTTTCAGAAATAATACTATTTGAGCTTGAGGATTATTTTTTGAGAAATTAACGTTCTGTATGATTTTTTAAAATTTCAAAATAGCATTGCAACAGTAATTAATTAGGATTAAATAATGTTAAAAAATAGATAACTGTCAGAAAATATAACATTTGGCTTGTTACGAGAATGTCTTACCATATTTCAGAGTGCGACCAACAAAGAATTGAGACCATGGTCCTTGTCCAGTGTTTGATACAGCACGTAACTGTATAGAATATTGTGTATCAGGATGTAATCTATTCACTGACAGTGTTGTCTCGCTAACTTTATGTGCTAATCGTTTTGTTTTCCCTTTCTTAATTTCATAGAAAATCTCAATTTCATAACTCCATTGATTCCAGGCTCCTCTTCCTGAAATATAACAAAATGAAATGGAGTTTTACACCCAGAGGCAGAAAGAAAAAATCCCAAAATAAAACTTTTTTGAAAATTTATAAATTAAATCATAAAAATAGAATTTTATTGAAAAAAAGGAGAAAAATCAAAACAAGTGAAGTTTAACATAACACTGATAAACAATAAACAAAAATACAATGGAACAATCAATGAAGAATGTGTTTACAATATATAATAAACAAGATTGATTATTTCCAGATTGTTTTTTTAAAAGATTTTTTAAATTTATTTCTTTTCAGTCAGGTTCGATTGGACTAGATTTAAGATAATTGAAATAAAGAAACTAAGAACTATGTACTTTCTTAAAGACAACAGATCAATATCACAGCATACAGTTCTTAATCAATACATCAATATTTCATCAATTACCAATACATGTTCATAAAACAACATACTAATACTAATTTTATGGAGTTCATTTCCAGTACATTCCATGGTGCAGTAAAAAATCGAAGTCAAAAAACAATAAATAATGATTTTGGACCTAAGTAAGCATTCAATGCCATCCTGTAAAAGGTGTTAAAGTACTCTTAATATGTGTTTCACTAGTTGACAGATCAAACTTAAAGCTATTATTATATACTTGCTTATATGAAAGGTTCATTAGCTGCTATCAATGTATTGCAAATTGTTTTGGATTTAATTTTGTGGATCAGTTCAGTAGCACTTGATAAAACTTTATCCCTTTTATACAATTAAGTATCTACATTGACTTTCATATTCTCTGAAGGTTATTCTTATTGATAAAGTAATAAGTTTTAACCGATCGAACCCATAATATTAGTCTTACCTTGGTATTCTAGTTTAGATGGTGATTTCCAACTAATCTGAGCAGAATGAGAATTAAATAAAGCTTGGATATCTGTAGGTGGTGTGTAGGGCACTAGAAAAACATTAGAAATTGAACATTAATTTGATTTGTCTTAAGCACTGCATGTTTTTTATATTTCTTTACAATTACAAGAGGTTGGATTCTTAAAGTTTAAACTAATATTTCACATGCAAGTCAAAATCTCAATATTTGAGCATTTCCACACACACAAATAGAAAAGTATATCCAGATAAATTAAAGTTTCTCACCTGGTTCAGGCTGTGTTGTTGGATGATAAATATTAATATTACTGTATTTATCATTAAAAAACAGGAAATTATTCTGACGAAAAATATCATATCGTTTATCAAATTCTTCTCGCTTCACATCATTACGGGTGGTCCAATAAAACAGCCCTTGATACGTAGCAATAGAAAACATGTTGGAGAAGTTGAAACGACTCGATTCAGATGGTGGTCTTATATTATTCACTTCACTTCTATCAAAATACACAGACATCATAGTATTCTGAGTTTCATTAGGGTAATACAGCTGCATCTTACTAAAATCCAGTGCGAAGGATTTGATGCTATCGTCATAAACCATCTGTGTTTGACTTGATAATTCTCCAGTTCCAACATCGGCCAGATCCAAACGAAATATTCCTCTACCATCACAATAATAAAGGTATCTAAAAAAAATATTAATCATTCAAAAATATATATAGACTCTAGTTCAAAGAAGAAGTGCCTAAAATGAAATTTAGTAGTGAGGACATTTTCAATAACAAGGTCACATCTGACCTTCATGGGTCATAATGATACAATTTAGAACTTCAAATCTGCTGACACACAGCAAAGGATGTTCATATGTTACCATTGCATCTTTCAGCATTAAGATACCAAGGTAAAATTCTTACACAACACATAATTGAAAATTGAAATGTTGGTTTGATATGGCAGCTAGCTCAAAATAAGTTTATTATAAGTTTATAATGTTCATTATGAACATCTAATTCAAGTAGATACCTACCCATTGAGAGGATCAACCTTGACATCAGTTGGTGGAGTGTCCAAACCATCAATGACCACCACACATTGATCATTCTCCTTATATAGAGGACAGGAATATATCTACAATAATAACATAAGATATAACCTTTATATAGAGGACAGGAATATATCTACAATAATCACATAGGATATAACCTTTATATAGAGGACAGGAATATATTGAATATATCTACAACATTAGAATAAGAGAACATTGTAAGACCTGTATATTGTGGACAATATCAGACTAAGAGAATAAGAGCACAAGAGATTACTGTAATACCTGTATATTGTGGACAATATCAGAAAAAGATAACAAGAGATCATTTTAATACCTGTATTTTGCAGACAATGGATTAAGAGCAATAGAGATCACTGTAATACCTGGATATTGTGGACAACAACAGAATAAGACCAATAGAGATCACTGTATTAACTGTATATCGTGGACAATATCAGAATAATAGAAAAAGAGATCATTGTAATACCTGTATATTGTGGACAATATCACAATAAGAGTAATAGAGATTATTCATCTGTTTAGAGTAAACAGGGTTAGAGTGGGATAGAGAGAACAGTTTTACCTGTAGATAGTGGACATAATTGGCGGGAGTAAGAGGATTTGAATTAGAAGTAATACCTGTATTAGAGATTGTAATAAAAAAATTTTTAAGGAACAATGATGAAAAAGCAAGAGATGAAAATGAAGTTTGATATAAAGAATAAGTATAGGACCTTACGGAACAAATGATTTGTTAAAACCTATTTATAGAGGACAAGACATAGAACAAGAGATTAGACATCTGATTAGATTAAGATCGTACGTCATTCTGAAAATGAGTAGGTTTTTTCTCTCATGAATGTTATTAAAAGGGTTCATGTTAAGTGCCAATAGACCAATACATTAATATACAGACATCCAATAATCTAATATACTATAATAGAATTATCCTGAATATCTTCTTCTATCTTATCAATCAATTAATGTATAATGTTTTGGTCTGTTTTGGTAGTAAATCAGTCCAATTCCACATAAACAACAGTTCTAAGATTGTCCAAACTGTTCACCTTTCAAGACAAGTATTGTCAGAAGTCATGCAATCAAGGCTAAACATAATCAAACAGGCAACAATAACATCCCTTATTTTACAGATAAACTATTCCAATCACATAAAAATGTATCACATTGAAAGAAAATATGCATGTGTTGAAGATTTCACTAAAAATTTGAGGGGTGTCAAATACATGATTGGCACATCCTGTACAAGATTGGATATAATTTAAGAAAACTTAACAAAGATAAAATTCAGAATTTACAAAATACAGATTGTATTCTAAAACTAAATTTTAGCGATTGACTAATCAGATGGCTGAAACACAAAAATCATTTTAAGTTAAGTTTTTGAGAACCCCTGATAAATCTACTAAGTTAAAATAATTCCAGTGACCAATTAATCAAGTAAAACATCTAATTGGTTTCTATCTAGACAATTTCATGCCATCTGTTTTATGTCAAACAGCAGACCAAACACAGCCCATAATAATCAACTTTATCTAGCCGTTATATTAAATTAACTTACCCGATTTCTACTGATGATAAAAGCTGTATCATTTAACCAGTCTATAGTAATTGTTGTAGGTTTTAACAGACTGGGATACAGATCTGTTTTCCTGTCTAACTTGTCAGAACCAAGTGGCACCAAATCAACTTTTCCAGTCGAATCACTCACTAATAGATGTTGTTTTTTAATATGAACACCAATTCCTGAAAACGTAATGATCTTCTTAGTATGAAACATGCTGAGTCAGGGAGACTGGGGGTGGCTTAGACATCACATTCTAAATAGCCTTTCAATGGTAATCTATTATCAAAAAATACAGTAAAGATTCCCCACATTTTATATTTGGTAAAAGTACATCTGTCTACCATCCACACTATAAGCACAAAAAGCTTTTTAATGTAGAATGGTAACAAATATCAAACTTACACCTTCCTTTGAGTCCCTATAGAAAAAGTAGTGAGCTGTTATTTGTTTGTTTTCTGAATGTTCTAAAATGTCTTTGACTGACTGTATGTACTATATCTAATTCTAATTTATAACATAGTCGAGCGTGAAAGGACTTTGTTGTTGTCTGGTTAGTCCAATTCAAGTTTGGCAAGTTATTTCCCCTTACATACCAATATTATTCAAACACAATAGAAACTTTAAATCCAATTTTGTCAAACTATGAAATATTTAAATAACATAACAAAACATATTTTCATTTGAAAATTAAGCCAATAATTTTTGTCAAAATTGATTCTTCCATTCACATAAACTTCCAAATAGTTAAAGGGTTTAAAAAGCACAAAATACAACATCATCATGAAAACATTCAATATGAGACAAAAACTGACGGAATGAATATCACAAGTACAAAAAGGATTAAATTAAAAACAACAGGATATCAAATGGAATTATTGAAATAAAAAAAAATGTTACAAATATGAAAAAGGATCTGAAAAGAAAAAGAAAGTGGAGAGAAACAAAAACTTTGGATTATCACACAACATGGTTACCTTCTATTTCTCCTTCACCATTATATACACTGGTTTTATCTTAGTTTAAAAGGAAATAAATATCATTTATATAACCTTACTAAAAGTATATTATGCAGGGATCTCAATAGAGGAAATGGAAAATATCAGCCAAGGAACAAGGGGGACACAGGCTCTTATAGGGTAAAGGGGAAGATTTTGCCAATTTTAAAATGCTATCTTTTCGTCTCTTAAATCAAATTTTTAGTGGCTTATTTGGAAATTAAGAAAATACCAGTGGCCAGAAAAATAACGGAATTGAAATTTGAGCCCCCGAAATCCAAGTGTGTCCAGAATTATCAACATTTAAAAGTTAAAAAGGATGGCTCGTTTTTTCTTCAGACTCTGCCTAATATTGTCAAGACAAATATAGAAACAGAAAATAAAATTTCTATTTTGACGTATTTTTATAGGAATTATGCGATTTTTGTACATTTCTAGTAGTTCTAAAGACTATTTACACTAATCAACCCCCTATAATGGCATATCTGTTCCTTTAACAGAGATATACAAGAGTACAATATAAGTACCTCGAATTTTGATATACAAATGTAAAGGTATAATTACCTGTAAATTTGATATACAAGAGTAAAGGTATAATTACCTCAAAGTTTGATATACAAGAGTAAAGGTATAATTACCTGTTAATTTGATATACAAGAGTAAATGTATAATTACCTGTTAATTTGATATACAAGAGTAAAGGTATAATAACCTCTAAATTTGATATACAAGAGTAAGGTATAATAACCCTTAAGTTAGATAAACAAGAGTAAAGGTATAATTACCTCTAAATTTGATATACAAGAGTAAAGGTATAATTACCCCTTAAGTTAGATATACAAGAGTAAAGGTATAATAACCCTTAAGTTAGATATACAAGAGTAAAGGTATAACCTCTAAATTTGATATACAAGAGTAAAGGTATAATAACCTCAAAGTTTGATATACAAGATTAAAGGTATAATTACCTCAAAGTTTGATATACAAGAGTAAAGGTATAATTACCTGTAATTGTAATATAATCAGAAGAAGTTTCGTGTAGTTTATCTGGTAAACTAATAATATCAATCAAATTCTGTTTATAAATATGATTATCTGCTCCTAATATTAAATACGGTGTTTCTGTTATTGTTACTGCAAAAAATATTCAAATATAAATGAAGAAAAATGAGTAGAAACATTTTGCAATATTTCTATATTCTTTTTCAATCTCATTTCAATAACATGTATAAAAATAAACAAATTTGACAGGAATGCGTGGATCAATATCTTACGAAAACTAAGATTGTATCATTTCATAAATTGATTCATTGCCTTTCAGAATTAATCCTGTAACTTAACCTTCACTAGGACATAAGGAAGTAAGAATTGAATAAAAAAAACTTTAAGAGATATTATCTTCTTTACCAACTTATATTAATCAGTTTTTTTGATGTGAATCTCTTTTTAGGATTAAAGTTTGAATTTGTTTCTAATGGAATTAAAAGGGAACAATACCAAAATTTTCTTGATATACCCACAAATAAATAGATAGTTGAATCTTAATTTTTCAACTACTTTTCCTTAACCTAAAACCTTTGATTACATTTCAGTGCCACTATGCTAAGTTACAGAAAACCTCTTTTTTGTCTGATTTATCCAGATTTTAATTTGTTTTTTGAAAAGTGTAAATGAAGCCTAAGGGATTGTAAAGAGGTTTTCTAAATTTTTGATGTGGATTGCAAAATATACTTTATCACATAAATCTCTTCATGATTAGTGACTTCAAACACTTTGTTTTAGTGGAATTGCAGGATCCACAGACGTTTGATTGAATATTGGAAAGATTTAAATTGATGCTATAAGTGTCCCCAATACACATACAAATTTTAGAAATCCTTTTACAATCTCTTTAAGTAGTCCTGTACACTTTCATCATCTGCTAAAGTGAATTTTTAGATGCCTATATATCTTTAAATATGCTGGCTTCCTAGTTTCTGTCAGTTAACCAATCTGGTAGAAAATTGTGGTTGATGTTTCATTTTATACACCTACACAAATAAATTCATTTAAAATCCATTCATTTTCTTGTAGGAGAAAAATAAAGCTTTTAAAAGAAGGGTTTTAAATGAATATTAGAAGTCTACCACCCACCCTAGTCGACTATAGTGTAGGTGTAGCAATCTATTGACAATTGGTGTTTGTAAAATAAGAACAAGTTAAATGTAAATAGAATAGACAGACTCAATCAATGTGGATTATTTATAAGATATAATTGATCTACTGGATATATCTATAAACTGATCAAAGTTTTTGTAGTAAGCATGTGGAGAATTGAGGATAAGAAGGGACTCTTTCATTTTTATTATACCCTAATCCAAAAGTTTCTGAAATGAGGCCACTGAAATGCACTGATACTTCTTTTTTGCATGGTTGGCAGCTGGCGAAGCTATCTCTATAAAAAAGATAGCTTGCCAGGCAAGAGAATATACGCCAGCAGCTTTGATTTCAAATAAAAATATTTGGCAGTATGACGTTTAGTCTTACACTTCTTTTGAACTTTTTGGGATGCCTTTAAGTGTTGACACTAACTCATATTAAATAGTTCTCAATTTTTTGATTTTCAATAGGGTTCATCCATGGATGATAACAAAAAATTTCACCAAGTTGCATCAAACTCTGCTGAAAATTTTGCATTAAAGAGTGTTTACAAGCGGAAAAATTGAACACGTTTACAAGAACATGGGCAATAACTCATTAAATATTTTTTTATATTTTTGCAATAGGGTTCATCCTTAGATGATTACAAACGCTCACATCAAGTTTCATAAAAATCCATCAAGAATTGTTCCTTTTAGCACTTTTTAAAGGCCTCGGAGAGATAACGGTTGAATTATTTTATTCTAATTCAAATACAATTGTAAAACACAAAACAAAACAACTTCTCATGCTAAATATTTACAACAATAAGCAAGAGAGAATCATGCAGTGATAACATAAGAAGAAGATTAAAGATTCAAGTAACATAAAGAAAAAAAATATTTCAACCACTACATGTATAAGGAAAGATTAATTAAGCAAATCAATCATAAAACAAAGCAGCTTTTGACCACATAAGCATGACCCCTTTTTACAAAGAGGAAGTGTTATTTCATCTCTTCCTGCATATAAGGACAAAATTGTTAATGTTTTACACTTATTCTTGCTTTTGGAGATCAAGAGGTTTAGGATTCCAATGTAACCAAATCTTCCAAGGGGACTGAACTCTCTTAGAATCACTTGCCAATGGTTTCACAATGACGTAGGCTTACTCTTCTAGACACCTGATACCACTTTTCACCATAAAATATTTACTCCTATGATTTTCTTCCTCATGTGAAAAGTTCATTAGCTGTGACCAATGTTTTGCAAGTTTGTTGTTTGGATTTTATGTTTGCTTTTGTGGTTCTGTATGACTTGGTTTATTTATTCCTACCACCGTAGCCTAAATATTTCCTAGACTGGAAAGTTACTAACTTGCCAGAGAATCTAAATGTAAGAGATTGTAAAATTTGAAACCATAAGGCCATCTGTTTTTTGTTAGTTTCAGCTTGATTAACTACTATCTTCTAGTCAGATTGTAACATCATTTTGTTAGGTTGTGAAACAGGTGGTCAGTTACCAAATTAACAGATAACTGGACAAATTCTTTAAAAAGATTTTTTTCTAGATTTTTATGAGCATCAGGGCCATCTATGGCTTCTATTTGCATCATTCCTAGTTTCAGTCATATAACTGTGGTTTCTGTATTTGTACAAATACTAAACATTAATGAGGTCACTATAGCAAAAATTGCTGATAAAATCTTAGGGTCTTTGCGATAGTTATGTGATAAACGCTTAGTTTAAGTGGAACTGCAGGAGGCACAGTATGACGTAAATCAATGCTATAACAATACCGGTACTTATAATACTGATTTTAATTCATTGAGATAATTACAAACTCTTAACCTCTTCACATCAATGACAGATTGATACTGAGTTGAAAATGTTATCATCTTCGGCTGTATTAAAGTCAGCAAGGCAGCATCTAACTTGTTGAGCCACTGAGGCCCTTAAAACTATTTCCAGCTTAGATCCTTCTTGAAAATGAAATAATATCTTCTGTCTATCCGAAATGAACTGTTTCATGATTGACTGCAGTCTTTAAAAAACCTTTTCTAACTTTAATGAAGTTAATAGCAGAAGTTTCTTCAAATCTATCAATGAAAATTATTTCCAATGATGAATATCCATCAACTGCTTGCAATTAATTGTTTTTATAACAGAGCAAAAAAAAACATGAATTAACTTGTTATATCTGATATATAGAGGTTGACAAATTACCCGTGAGAATTGATGTTAAAACAAGTTGTATTTTTCATGGCTTTAATTTGCATATTTATCTATCACTGTTCATTCTTTATTTACTGACTTTTTAAAGAATTCAATAGAAAATAGAATGAATAATATTTCTGAAGGATAACAACTTAGATTCTGAAGGATCAGTTGGTTTATGGCATGATTTCTAGACATTAGATCAGAATTGTCTGCAAGTCAATGCAGCAGAGACAATCAGGATAATTGGAATGTCATTAAAGGTTGAACACACCAAGCCTATTGCCACAAGGTTCTCATCATGATCAAGCACTTGTTCTAATAAATAAGTAGATAAGGCTATGAAAGAAATATTAGAGCTCACATACTGAAATGAAGATGTCACTAGAATTTCAACGCATCCAGCCTCAATAAGAACGTTACAATTTTTAACTACAATCAAGCAAAGGAAAGAACTACTTTTCCTTTACAAATTCATTCTTGAGTAACATTAGGGCCAGACTACTAAAAAGAAAAACAAGAGCTCATGTACTGCAATGAGGATGTCTACAGAATTTCAAAACATCAAGCCTCACTAGGAACTCATTACCAAACTTTTTAACCATGACCAAGCAAAGGAAAGAGCTACTGTCTTTCTCCTTGATCTTATAAATTCATTCTGGATAAACATAAAGGCTAGACTATGAATGAAAAAATAAAAGCTCAAGTACTGCAGTGAAGATGTCACAAGAATTTCAACACATCCAGCCTCAATTAAATATTCAATGCCACAAAATTTCACCACGATCAAGCAAAGGAAAGGGCTTCTGTCTTTTAATCTGCTCTTATACTAGACTATGAAAGAAAAATAAGAGTGCAAGTACTGCACTGTCACAAAAATTTCAATGCATAAAGCCTCAATCAGAACCCATAGAACTAATATTTTCACCATGAGCAATTCACTTTCTATATATTCTAATAAATTCAGTCTGGATTAAGATGTAGTTCTGTAATGGACAACATATATTAACCCATAGTTAGTTTTTATTACCCAAACAGAAAAAATAGGATCATTTATTACAATAGTGACCTTGGTTTAATCCTCCTCCACACAAATAAGCCACTTATATATTACTGCTTTTCAACAATATCAATTCATAGCATTCATTTATAAAACCTTGGAAAATATCATAACTATTATAATAAAGGAAATTTGAGATTATCAAAAAAATTGAATCGTGTCTAGCTAGATAATAGAAATATAGTGGGAATTTGTTTATAATCTGCCACTGTCTTTTCAACTCATCTTTTGGTATTTAAAAAAATATTTTTTGGTTCATCAGATATGAACAACATGACAGTTATTTCAATGCCAAACTTCAAATAGGAAATGATTTTAAAATGTCATTTAGATAACTGATATACCCTTGATAGGTCACCTAAGGTCAGGGGTTAAAGTTCAGACAATCAGCTGTGAATCAGATGGTAAAGATTTAAATTTTAAAGATTTAAGATCTTGCGTCTTCAAGGTCTCAAAGTTCCCAGGAATATTGTCTTTTAGAAAATAGTTTGTTTAGTGGTAATAAAGATAGCTTGGTTAACTTTTTACTCATGTCAGGCAGTAGAAAATGTGTGGAATTATAATAAATGAAACTTGATACTGGAATATTGTTGTCCAAGACATAAGAAGATCCTTAAAAAAAAATTTCCTCTTAGGAAATTTTCAAAAAAATTTAATTTTATTAAAGAAACACATAATATATGACTTAAGAATTTTCACCATTTATAGTTTAAAGTATATCATGTCTTTGCAATTTTTTTAAGTGGACAAAAGTCAGTAGTTTCAAAATATTTACAAAATATCAAGACAGCAACTTGTAACAATTTTTTTCAATGGAACCGTGCTACACAAATCTAGAAAAGCAGTCATTTGCCATTCATAATCAACAGCCCTGTCGTTATTGTGGAGCCCATGGGAGCTGGGTCCCAGCAAGTGAGAATTAAGCCCCAGCAAAACCTTCTTCAGTTCAGCAGAGATTGATTCATTTAGTGTCTTCGTACAAAATCAAAAAGATATAGAATTTGATACGTTTTTGGCAGCTCAAAATTGTCAGAAACGAGTCCTCTAGGTATTTAATTCTTCCAATTATCTGAGTACAAAATCTGAGCCCCAGCACTAATCCATTCCTGGAGACGGGGATAATAACCAATGTACCATACAATACATTAATAAACCCTTTGAAATTATTTCTCAATATTTTCCAAGATATTTGTCAAAACTGAAATTGTCAAGTGTGTTTGATTGTGTCATATAGCATGAGACAGAGTAGAATATTAGCCTAGTTAGAGGAATTCTCAGAAGAATACTGTCAAGAAGCTGGATAGACAGTAATAAAATCTTACACTAATATAACAAAGTCTGAAAAACATCAGCAATCATGCGAGACACCATTATATTTCTTCATGTTTTGTCTTAAAATAGCAAAGTCTGTGTTGTCAATCAGTCTGTCTTTTCATATACACAGTTTCTACTTTACTGTCATTAAAGGCCATGGTTTGCCATATTTGGGGGTTGATTTATGTCTTCAATATAAGTAAACAGTCTTCAGAATTAACAGAACTACATGAATATCGCATCTCTTCAAAAATATTTCAAACTAGCAATTTCACTTTCTGTTACTTTTATTGTCTTTTCAATAAGTGGTGGATTCATTTTAATTCTTGATTTGATTGCTCAAATTTTGACAGCGAGCTGTGAACACAATTTCAAATTAGCTTAGCTAAAAAAAATCTTGTTTCTGAGACTAAGGAATGATTGGTGAAACTGTGCCTTTAAATGTAATGAGAACATGTCCACATAGTCAGTAAGAAAGTAAAGGAGATAGAGTGATAAAGTTTATCATGATCAAAATAAATCATAACTTGTCATAAAAAACATTCCTTGTAGAAAAATACCATCTATATTGGAACCCAATTCATCCCTGACACAAATTTCAAGAACTTACTCTTTCATTTTACCAGTGAAGTAGTTCCAACTACTAAATTATGAAGAAACCATTTATTTTACATTTAACCAATAATTCAAGCTACTGATATAATTTATGTAGATTTCTTCTTACATTGGTTATTGCAGAAAAAATGGACCATAGTCATAAATTATTTGATGATAGCTGTTCCAATTATCATTCCCAAGGACAGCCCCACAACCCCAATCAACATGTATTAGGCATATTTTAGAAAGAGTAAAGTAATTTTATATATTCTTTCAAAAATCTAGTGCCAATGCTTAAATCCAGGCCAAAAAATGTTGCTATTATCACAACTCATTACAGCTTAAATGCACCTCACACTTTAATCTCGCACTGACTTCTTTTTAAAAAAAAAACAGTTTTAGCCATATGTTACCTATTGATAAGACAAGTTTAGTTCAGTCCAACTAACTGTATGCAGGGTGCAGCTTGCATATCTAATTTACTTCCTTTAGCTAAATGTATACCGTTCTTCATAATGTTTTCAGAGCCTAATATACCTTCAAGTTAAAAAACGATATTCAGATACTTTTTCAATGTAATGTAAGAAAATATCTATTTTTCCCTGAAATCAATCTGTGGTCTGTGTGTATAGAAGAATTCAAATATATTTTCTTCTTAACTCAAATGGAATCCTGACTATTTGTTCTTTTAAAAAGTGATTAATTTAGTGCTACAAAACCATATATTTCACTTAAACGTGGTTCTTAATACCTCCTGATTACCATGTGGGTAGTATCACTTCAGACAAAAACAGAATTACTGTCACAATAAGACCCAAAACTTGTAAATTAAGACCATGAAACTTCATTGGTAATTCCAGTGAGCAATGTGATATGTGAAATATGTGTCATGTGTGGAAGACAAATCTCAGCTTAACTCCAGGAACTTTGTGAGTAGAATACCAATCAACATAGAAATCAGTTAACACTTTAACTAGCTATTATTTCATGAGTTAAAAAATCACTAGGAACATAGCTGGGAACCTGATGGTCTTCAGTCATTAAACTATCCAAAGCCATTATTTCTGAGTTTTATATCAAAAGGAAATATAGTTGGGAACCTGATGTTCTGAAGTCAATAAACTATCCATTATTTCTGAGTTTCTATCCATTATTTCTGAGTTTTAATCACTAGAAACATAGCTGGGAACCTGATGGTCTGGAATCATTAAACTATCCAAGGCCATTATTTCTGAATTTCACTGAGAACGTAGCTAGGCATAACAAAATAGTTTCAGAAGGAATTTTTTGTATAAAAGTTAAGCGACATTTTCTAAATATCCAAGGACTAACTAATATCTACCATAGTAATATATAATATTATAAATCTTTAGCTATTGACTAACCAGAATAAATATTTGTTCTCTTGAAAAATGATAATATTAAAATAAACTCTTAAATTTGGTCAGAATTTGGTCAGAATTAGGTTAAAAAAATCACTTCAATACATAAATATATGTTTTAGTTTTGAAATGACTGTGATTCATGCTACATTTTAAGCATCCACTGTATTTTAATTCAGAATACCTGTTCAACAATCAGGTTAAACTAAGAAGGATATAGGAAATCATCTTGATGGATCAAATATGGTACAAAATCAGTAAAGTCAAAAGCATTCTTCTGTCATCAGGAATGAAGGCTACAATAAAGTTCCATTAATAGTTAACTAAAGCAAAACTTTACTTTCTTCAAAGTTCTTAGTGAGAAAGAGCCATTGATAAAATGAATGAATTTTAATTCGGAAAGTTAAATAACATGTGACTGCAATCATCCAATAGGAAGAATTGAAGAAACAACCAATAAAACTTCTATCCATAAAATATATTACATTCTTAATATTTATATTTTGCTATGTAGACTCTTGGAAAAAGATGACTAATTGTAAACTTCTGTTCCAGATTGGAAGAATTGTAAACTTCTGTTCCAGATTGGCGTCTGGTTTTCAGAAAGGATGAGAATGCTGTGCTTCAATAGTGACATTCAAGTTGATAGGTTGAAGAATATCCTTCAGGACATTATTTCCAGAGTTATCAGTCTATTGGTGTGGCTTATAAGATAAAATCTTAAGTCTGAATTCAGATGTCTTCCGCAAATAAATTTAAAATCTGCCCCAAAATAGACTCTACAGAAACTTTCCATTATTCAGTCTTTCATATCATACAAAAGAGAAGTGAACTTTATTTATGCCTGGAAGAACCAAATTCTGAAGGAAGAAAATCTTTTAGACAAACTACAGATCAATTGTTCTGTTTGGAAATTGTGTGGAATAATTCGTTTGATCTGTTAGGTACACACAGTTAAACTCTGGCCAGATCTATTTAATCAATTTAGCTGAAACTAAACACAAGAATCAAGTCAGAAAGTCATGAAGTGACAAATACTGTCTATACATTGTATTATTGACAACTCCCACTAATATCAGGCTTTCCTAGGTCAAAACTTTCCTCAGAGAAAAATTCTGCAATTAAATAAAAAGGACAATTAACATCTTACTTTGTGAATTAGTTGAAATGTGCCTTGAAAAATAACTTTCTTTAAAGAAAATGGCCCCTTAAAAAATCCAATGATCGGAGACTCATGAAAATAAGCAATAAAAAGCACAATTAATACTTATAGAGTTTTACAAGCAAAAGCATACAATGTATGTATTTTTAATGTTTAATCCATTTTCCAGGGGGTCTAGTGACCCTATTTGCCCCATAGTGCAGACGGACTTCAGATTAACATTCTGAAAGTTGACCCGGCTTATTAGATTTCAATTGTGGTATCTATTTCAGGCAATCCAATAAGCCGTCTAGCTCCAACCTGATGTCATCACTTCACTATATCTATTGTGACAGAAAATCTTAATTACCATTGATTCCTTGCTTAATCTTTGTTGAAACTAGCAACTTCAAGGTTAGAGTTTTTACCAGCATCAATACATACTACAACCAAAATCAATCCTGAATCAATCTTCTGTTCCTTTTATATGAAGACAATGAATCTTATATTCAGATGCAATGACACTATTGCTATCAATTACCATACTGATTACAGAATTAACCTGAAGTGTTGAAGCCATGTTTTTTAGTGATAGTGTTCAATGTAATTTCAGTCAATCTGAAAGCATATTGGCAAACTTTATTCTTCTAGCTGTTGATAAGATCCTATCTCCAGAAGTGGTTATATCCTCAGCCAAGAAGTTTTAATTTGGTGAAAGTATGGTTGTTACCAGAGTTGTTGTTTTAAGAAGATTGTAACCCTTGTGCAGGTAGTCCCAGTGAATATATGACTGTAATCCTCAGGATATCTGTTAACATATCTCCTTTCCGTATCTGATTGTATCCTTAATAAGTGTAATTCTATTAAGTGTTGGAAATATATGTATATGTGTTTTCTTAATTTCTGTCACTTAGTTTTTGAGCATAATTGTAACTATAGTATTTATTATAGTCTTGTCTGACTGAAGCCTGGGATGCTATTTTGATGGGTTCAGGGGAATAAGTGCAAATAGCAATTATTCTTTCTGCTCACATCTTGCTGGATATTCATTTCTGTCTTGTATGACAGATGATTCTATTTAACTCATTTCTACCATATTGACTTGTGGATCTAGATATTTATATAAGGATCTGGATAGATAAAGGGTGTTTTTATCATTGTGATAATTTGAACATAAACTAAGCCTATCCCATCCCAGCTCAGGTCCAAAAAGCAGAATTTGAACTAAATATTCAGACTGGTTTCACTTGTATCAACAGAACACCTGATTAGGCAATTCAGGATCCTTTCAAAAAGACCTGATGGCTAATTTTATTTAATAAGTATATCTATTTTTCATGCACGTACATGACATAGTTTTTAAATTAATGTCTGTCTTTCATCATGTATAGATTATGACATTGTGCTCAATAATAATTTTTTTTAAATCTAGTTTAACAACAGATACAAGAGACTAAATAAACTCATCCCTGACTAATTTTCTACACATGATATCACCTTTGACCTTTTCAAACTGAATACATAATGAGAAAATTGGTGCCGACCCTATTTCAACATCCGCAATTTACAGTGAAATAACAAATCTGTCTCTATCAAACTTGTCACGTTAAGATCTAGTTAAAATAATACATACTTATGTACTTGAACAAAGTTTGAAAAAAATGGTTGAGATAGTGTTATAACTCTTCTTCAATATATTATTGATAAAGGTCAGGTCATTATTCATTGTGTTCACAACACTGTATCAATCTATCTGCGTAAAAGCTCATAACAAGGTGATATTGATAAAGCCCTGTCGTTAAGGTGGTGTCCGTGGGGGCTGGGCCCCAGCAAGTGAGAATTAAGCCCCAGCAAAACCTTCTTCAGTTCGTCAGAGATTGATTTGTCTTTGTACAAAATCAAAAAGATATAGGCCTAGCCTAGATTGTGATACGTTTTTGGCACCTCAAAATTGTCAGAAATGAGTTCTCAGGGCCTATAATTCTTCAATTTTCTATGTAAAAAATCTGAGCTCCAGCTCCAATTCATTCCTGGCGATGGAATTGTATTCATATATAAATCATTGGCATTGTTGGAAACTAAATTTTCAATCAAATTGCAACAATCAATTTTTTCAGAGATTATTTTATGACTTTTTTAGTGTCTGTTGTGACCAGTTTTAGATTCAGTTTTGCCCACTAGTTAGTACATTCAGTTAGTATTAGCCCAAAGTTCCTGACAAAATTTTTAAATCAAAAGGTTACATCATAACAATTTCCTAAATCAGGATTGGTTGAGCTAATACGACTCATATCAACAAATTATATTCCTGTTTAAAATAAACCATTTTCCTCCAGAGGACAGTTAGTTAATAATAAAAAGTAGGCTAGTGATTTATATAATTGAAATAATTATATCTGGTGTAGATAAAACTAGTCTTCCCAAATAGTTACAAAGGTTCACAAATTCAAATCATTGTGTCGTTCATATAACTTTTTATAATTTGACCATTTCATTTTTTCATTGTATTTCTGAATTATTGTATTTAATCATCTGTAGAAGGTTGTATTGGTACAGGGTTGTATTTGTTGTAGGTGGTATGTATTTGTAAGAAAGGAGGTCTCTCAATATGGATTTATATTACAATATCATTATATTTTAACTGTTATCCATTTTAGGTTGTAAAGCTGTATAAAGTACAAAGTTGAACATTCATTCAGGCCCGAGGTCAGTCTTGATTGTTCAGAAGGGCAAGTAATATGTTTGGAGGGGCAAAGGTGTAAGGTATTTATTGCAGTTATGGAATTGGTTGGTTGTCAGAATGTTTTCAGGGGGGTAATCTATTTTAGGGGGGCCATTGACCTGCCTCGCCCTACCTCCTTGTAGCTTTCATGAACATGCCGCTCCCAAAATGTCTAATCCTTCCAATACGCATTGAATACTAATATTGGACAACAATGTGCTTTTTGCACAAAGTAAAAACACATGATAAATGTATGTTTGGTAAGTATAATAACATGAACTAATGAAAAGTGCAATGATAGATTATAAGCCAAAATGAAATAAAAGCCAATCTAAATGGTGATGCGAATGAGAAACTTTAAAAATCATATTTATGAAATTAGATTGACATTGCCTTTTCTTGTTCTCTCTGAGAAGTGTGCAGATTGTCAAATTCAAAAACATTGAAACTGTGTCTCACTTATATTTAGAACTAAAGCTAGCTTCATTCGGTTCCTAGGTATTCTTCCCTGCCAAATTCTAAAAGGTGTATTGAAAACTGTAAGATTTTTTAGTATTTTCTATAAGAATTAAAATCACCCAGGCAAGCAGGTTAAGAAACACACACTGATAATAAAGAAAAGAAAGAAATTATAAATAATGAAGGCCTGAGTGTTGCTTCGTAAACGTAAAATTTTAATACTTTTGTTTCCATTTTGTCATCATCAATCTAATAATTTATAAATATGATTGTTAGGCCATAATTTAATTCAATGTTTCTTTGTTATTCATTTTGTTGTGAAATTCACAGTAATTCATTCTGAAAAGGGTCATTAAAAGACACAAATCGAGCTAATTAGAAACATTTAATTAAATTTGATGGCCATAATAATATGATATTTGAGAGTGATAAATAAAGAATATATAACATTCAAAATGCAGGATATTTCAATAGGGAGAAATTTTAGCCCAAGGATCAACTGCAATGCCAGAACAGACATCATATGAAAATCAACTATATCTTTTATAAAATTTAAAAAAAAAATAAATAAAAGTCAAAGACAAGTTTGAACTACCAGGAAGCATGCAAGACTAGTAAAAAGTTTATATCATAATAAGTTTGCTAATCGAAATTTTGAAAAGAATATGGAAATCTGTTCTGGCAACTAGAAAATGCACATTAGTAGATAGAGGCAAATAGAAAAATTTATCACCCTTTTTGAAATTGAGCTGAGCCAATGAAATCTGCTCTCTCATTTGTTTCTGGCGAACCTCTGGCCTCCAATCACATTAAAGCTTTCAGGTTGGCATGCAAAATAACCGAAACTTACAGTTACCCGGATTAGGAGTGGTTGTATAACTATAGGCTGTGGGACCTTCACCATCTATATTCCATGCTGATAGCGTGATACGATAACTCTGGGATGATTGAAGTTTACCAACAGTTATTGATGTCACATTGCCAGCTATGTCTTTGTTGATTTCCTTCAGATCAGGATGGCCTTTAGGATTCAAACTAAGTTTATAACTGAGTAGTGGACCGTTTTTAAATGATGGAGGTTTCCAGGATATAGAGATTACTGTGGGAGATAATGCTGATACTCTGGTAATAGTAGGTGGTGATTCAGGTGCTGAAAAAAAAATATAAGTATAACTAAAAAAACACAGGGATATAGTATGGTGCTCTCCGCTTCTAAATGTCATTCAAATCTGATAACAAAACATCTGTTAAGCACATTCTATAAAACAAATGAAGATTTTTGTACAAATTTCTTGTGTAATCATGCACATGATTTTTAAAAATAAATTTCTCACTGACCATAATTATAAACTAAACAACTTGCACAAGTACATATTTCAATACAATATTACTATACAATATACTATATTACAATAGTAGATCTTGCCCCACTCCCTCCTCCCTAGAAGATTTGATATTACCCTACATTTGCTGTTGTCAGTGCAACTCAGTATTTGGAAGGTACACATGTCTTAGTTTAGTGAAATGGATTAAAAATTCTTCAAGGAGCTTATTAATAAATGATGCAAAAAGAATAAAGTTCCAAAATATATTATTAAAATAAAACATTTCTAAGTTTTCGAAGACAGTGTGTAGTTAAAAGGCTTCAATGTTTGATATTTTTCATGTTAATATCAATCTAAATGTAGTTCATATAAAAGATGAAGACAGTATTATAATACATGTTCTAATATACATCTATTGGTATTTACAACACATAACTTCTGCAATTTCACTTTTTATGAGATTTCTGCGTGACTTAGCAAATTAGAAACGTCAAGAATATTTCCATTTCTATTGCTTTTAACATCAACTCATATATTGCATTTATTCTCAATTCCATCAAATAATCTTGACCAATTCAACTTGCTCACGTAAAGACGCATTATCTAACTTTTTAACTGAAGAGTTAATATAAGATAGTGAAAGTTTGAATTAATTGTCTGAAATAAAGTGGAGATGTAGAAGAGGAACGAACTTGCCAGGAATCAATACAGTCTCATTAGGACCTGATTAAATCACTACTATTAGACGAAGCAAGCATGGCCTCGTATAAATATCAATGAATAAAAGATAATTGCTTTAAGTGCTTCTAAACTGAATGCAATCATGCGTCAATATAATTTGATTGTATATAGCACACAGTTTAGACTAATCTCTCGTCTTTACTCACACTATCCGAGCATTCTATAATTACATCTTACATGGTTTATATATCGTTACAAATATTTACTGATACAGACTAGGCCACAGGGCCTCAAAACATTTCTCATGCTCAGCCTTTTTTTTACTCAAATTCATACTATCCCTTGCACCAACAAAAGGTAAAATTTGAAGATTATTGTGATAATGCCAGAAACATTGTGCCCTAAGGAATAGATTGATATATATTATTTCCTTTATATGATCACCTTTTAAAAAGCACCTGAAGCCACTTTCAAACTTAACTCAATTTCTGTGGCGGAGGAAAAAATGCACAGCATGCTTTCCGTTTATGCCTTTCCTTCTAATACTACTGTTCTGCGGTCAGTAAGTGCTCTTGTTCAGGTTTTCCTGTATTCATATAAGCTGTATGTTAATCAAGTCTTGTGTATTGGAGTCATGAAAAACAGTCTTTGATTTAGCACTTTTGTCTGATTAGAGTAAACAATTACTGTGATTAAAGATTAAGTACAGTGTTTAACAACTTGTATCTCTTATTGTTGGTGATCATTTCCTATTAATATATCAGTCAAAACTTAATAAAGATCCAAGAATATAACAATTTTCGAAATTTTTATAAAATAGGCAAAATATTTTTGTACCATTGTGAAAAAATGTAGCCAGAGATTTGTTTGAATTGCTATTTATGATACAGGAAGAAGAAACAATAGCATGACTTACCTCCATTTGGTCTGGTTGTTATTAGGATGCTCTCAGACGAATCTAAAATATGAAACTTGCTAACTACTGCTATTACTTTAAACTAAAATGGAAATCATGATAAAAAACCATCAGGTATCAGACAAGAAAAGTTGAGTTAAAAACCTAATACAAAATATGCTAATACTTATATGAATAGAAAGTAGAGGTGTTTTAATGACTAGGAAAAATACCAGTTTGTCTCACATGTCCATAATTAATTCATAATGAGCTAAATTAGCAGAGAATTACCAGCAGAATTCCAATGAGTGACCGATCAAGAAAGGTCAAAAAGTCTTTTTTTTTGTTTATCCAGACTGTACATACATGGACATTTATGATTGGTTAAAATTCTTAATTAAACACCAATTAATCAAATAGTTTGCTCACTAAAAAATAAGGAAATCCATCTTTAAGGCCATTGTTAAAATAAATATCATCTGATCTATTTTATATTTATTTTTTTTAATTTATAATATAAAAGACACTAACCAAACGCATAGCAACTTTTAAACATTTACGTAAACCTTTCCAATAGTTTTGGTGTTATAAAAATTAAGATACTTTTAATCAAAACTTTCAGGGTAGGGATTTTGGTGCATAGTTTTCATTTAATTGCGCACCTAACTTTTCCAAGACAATAATGGGTGGCTGGGGTCTTGTGCTCTACAAGCTGCTGGGATTAAACATCCTTCATCAGTTTTTCATCCATAAGAGTAAGTTAATACCAATGACCAAGAAAAACTTTTTATCCATACCAGTCTCTTCATTAGCTCAAATGGACAGTGACTCAACTAGATCAGTAGGCACCCGTGGACTTAAATAGGTTTGGGCCCCTCCCAAAGGGAAATTTTTTATTCTTAAACTCCTCTGTAAGTCAAATTTATGCCTTAAATAATGGATATACTACTCCTTTCTTTAATGTTCTATCTGCTTCTAAATGCCATATAAAGATTATAAATTCATGCCTGCTTTTACTTTTTTGTGGGTGGAAGCACCCTTACAGACAGAGGCCTGTTGACTTGATTCAATCAGTCCCTATGGTAGTTCAGCCACTACAAATGGGTTCAAACAGGTATCTCAGATCATTTGCCTTCTGCGCAGTTGGACAACACAGTTTCCTGTTAGTAACATGTAAAGTGTGTAATTCACTTAAGGAACAGTAAACAAGAATACATATTTAGTAATTAACTATAATGATTTATATGATTGAATTACATATTAGATACACCTCACAGTGAGTCAGTCATTAAAACACTAATAAATAGTTTGTGTAGGTAATGTTAATTAGAAACTAAGTTCTATCTCTCACCAGACAGTACAGTTTACAATAATCACATTATATCTGTAAGGAATAATGGTTTTATATCATAGATATTACCACTTTTTTTTATGAACTAATAAGAAAGTGTTCCTAATCGGGACCTGTTTATTATTTACATATCATGTTTATGGAAATTTTAATTCAGAAGCCTACTGATCAAAATATTCTTACGCTTTTATTCATTGGTCATTTGACTCCTATGAACTTGAAAGAATTGTAAAGAGGTTTTCTAAACTTTTTACATGTATCAGGGACACTGATAGCACCGATTCTACACCATTCTAATTTTTAGTCAAGACATATGTGGGTCCTGTCATTCCGCCAAAATCAAGTGTTTTATGACATCATTTATGCAAGCACTGCTGATTATAAACAACTTTAGAAATATTGACATCATACACAGTATTTTTATAATAACAGAAAAAAATGTGAATGATGGTCATTTCTGTGTGCAGTTCCAACTGAGCTTTATCCTTTAAAATAGAAAAGTGGTTTGTACATGATTGCTACAATTACAAACTAGATTCATTATTAATGGGCAAAATAAGCAAACTGACTTCAAAATCTCCATGAAACTTTATATAAGTTACAAAGCAAAATATATCTTCTGAAGCATGAAATGCAGCCTCATATTTCACAAAGAAGAATTGAGTTCAAAGGAAATGCATCACTTAACAGGGGGAATAAAAATTTACTAGGAATAATATTTACTAACTGATATTTACTAACAAGTTAGTAGAAATAATATAAAAACAAGCGATGGTTGACAGTTATATTAGACAATATAGATTGTAGATACATTACGAATATAAACATACTTTATGATTATCTTTTGTCCATTAGACTATACTGTATCAAGAAGGTAGTGTTGATAGGTAAATAT